CGAGTTATCCAGCTTTCCGCAAAACCTAAACGGTGCATCATTGCCTCCACAAAACACCATTCCACCCTGTCGTATGCTTTTGCCATATCCAATTTTAGAGCCATTTTAGCACCGTTCCCACTTCGTGGCCCTTTTATATGGTGAACCACCTCAAAAGCAGCCATGACATTATCAATAATATGTCTTCCCGGAACAAAAGTACTCTGTGACTCAGAAATTACCTCCGGTAAAACCATCTTCAAGCGATTCGCAAAAGCCTTAGCAACCAACTTGTAAAGGACTGTACACAAGCTGATGGGCCGAAAATCGGTGACTCGACTAGGTTGAGTTATTTTCGGGATCAAAGCAATAAGGTGTGATTAAAATCTCGCACACTACCTTCCCCATTTAAAATTCGTAGACAAGCATCACTGACTGAATCGCCCACTATATGCCAGTAGCGTTGATAAAATAAGGCAGGCATCCCGTCAATTCCAGGGGCCTTGGTTGGATACATCTGACCAAGGACTTGCTCCAACTCCAAACGATTAAAAGGACGTAGAAGGATTTCGTTCATATTTGTTGTAACACAAGGAGTTATAGCTGCCAGAACCCGTTCCATATCTTGACCACCTGTCTGAGTGAAGAGACCATTAAAATAGTTGCAAAACATGGACCCAATATTATCACTATCTGACTGCCACACGTTACTCTCGTCGAAGAGCCCTCGAATGGTATTATTTCTCCCCCGGGATTTAGCCTTCTCGTGGAAGAACCTGGTATTTCGGTCGCCTTTTTTAAGCCAAGTGACTCGAGAACGTTGATTCCACATTGTCTCCTCTGCCTCCAGTAGGTTGTTTATTTCTCTCTCAACTTCTCGTCTGCGGGACACCCACACTTGTTCATAATTCCCATTCTGCAGTTTGCGTAATTCAGCATGGGCAATTCGCAGTTTCTTTTGAATATTACCAAAGTGTTGGTGGTTCCATGTGGTCAAAGAGTCAGCACAGTGAGCAACACTAATCGTAACATTACTACCGAGCCCCCTTGTATCCTTCCATACCTCCGTAACCACCTCTTCACAACTAGCCTCTTGTACCCACATTTGTTCAAACTGGAATCTGCGTGCGTTCTTCCTTCCTTGTTGCTGAGGCAAATTAGTGGATACATTAAGAAGGATAGGTTTGTGATCCGATCCCACAGTGTCTAGATGTTGGATCAGCAAATCAGGAAATCGGTTAAGAAGATCTGCATTAGCCAAACCTCTATCCAAACGAACCTCTGTCATGATACTTTCATTTCTTCTCCCTGCCCATGTGAAGGGGTAGCCCTTAAAAGGAAGAGAAATTAAAGAACAGTCACGTATTGCATTTTTGAATTGTGTCATTTGTCCAATTGGCCTCTCCCTGCAACCCCTTTGTTCTTCCGCTGATAGAACTTCATTGAAATCACCCAATACCAACCATGGTCCATTAACCCCGTGGTGCAGTCTTCGTAGCAACTCCCAAGAATGTTTTCTATTAATCGTTGTAAACAAAGGAATTTATATAAAATCTAAAACTATAAATCTTAGTTTTCTAAATACTTATGTTCTGAAATTCTCTATTGTTTTTTTCAATCAATGGGGTGAGGGAATTTGAACATAAGACATCTTTCAATATTGGGAAGAAAATATTTAACTTTTTCAACATTGAACTCGAACAAGAAATACCAAACTTCTTTTTCTTCTCTAATACTTTCGAACCGTCTCATTAAAACGGACCGCAAAAGAAAACACATTACTTTAGTAGAATACTGACTATATCAAATCAGAGAAGATGTGATTGATGCAAATTAAACATACAAACATGAACGAAATAAAAATGATATAAAAATAATAATAAATTGTGTAATACTGACTAATTTTACACTTCATATAACTAATAGTAAGTGTTAGGTACCGATATATAGTACCAATGATAAATCACTTTACCAACACGTTCAAAATGTTCAGTGCATGTGTTACATTAGTAGATCCTCTGTACAAAAGAAACATTGAACCCTCACAATGTATTCAATCTTAAGTAATTACCATGTATATGATTTACCATATCTCCCTATGCATTATTGTTTATCCTTATTGCTTTTTTTCACATGTTGGAAATGAAAAAGTATTGTTGTTATCCGTTGTATTTAGTCATTTCAAATTTATGGTACACTCATTTTCGATTTTATGTACATTACACTATTTCTTTTCATAATCTATATACATTGTATTTATTTTCTTCCATAAAAGGATCTTTACCAAAATGCCGATCACCCAATTTGAACCTACTTAATATGGCATTAAGATGATAAAGCAAGTCACACGGACAAAAAAAGAAAAAAAGAAAAATAGTGGTACACATAAAAAGAATTGAAACCATTTACCACACGACAAAACCAAATATAGATAAAGAGTAAGCCGACCACATACACCATGTAATTATTTTCCAATTCACATATCCTTTATTTTGTTTTTATTTTCATTTTCTCCATATATCACAACACGAACTTTTTTTGGTGTTTGGTAAAACAACTAACTATTTCCAGGAATTTGCATTCAAGGCCATATGCCCAAGAGTATTTATATATAAGGGGGTGCAAACACATAGAGAAGCACAAGTAGACTGTGAGCTTCTTCTCTCAGAGTGTGCAACTGTTCTCTCTCTTTCTCTGAGTATAGTGATCACAAAGTAAAAGAGCAGAGTTTGGTATACAATCATGTTGGGTTTGGCTTTGGGAGTTGGAAGGGAGCTTGGTTCCTCCATGTGGATGGTCCTTTTGTGCAGCCTTGGTGCTCTTGTGGCCCTCAAATGGCTTCTGCAGAATGCAAATTCCTGGTACTATGAAACCCCGCTGGGTGAAAAGAAGTTCTCTCTCCCTCCTGGTGACTTGGGCTGGCCTTTCATTGGCAACATGTGGTCTTTTCTAAGAGCTTTCAAGTCCTCCAAACCTGAAGCCTTCCTCAACTCCATGGTTTCCAGGTTCACACCCCTATCTCTCTCTCTCTCTCTCTCTCTCCTCTCTCTCTCTCTCTCTCTCTCTCTCTCTCTCTCTCTCTTATATGTATTTTCTTTACTTTCTCTAAGCCAGATGAATTATCTAGTACCGGATATCAATTTTCAATATCTAGTACATTGTTGATATTCTGGTAACCATTACTCTCAATTCTTTTACAAAATAAAATGCTGGGGGCATTTTGATATGGTAATGTGATGTCGTGAGGATTCGAACTTGAGACCTCTAATCTACGGGACAACCTTTTCCACTGGACTAGACCCCGTTGGAAGTTATACCGATGTTTTTGATGATGTGAATGGAAGAGTTTCTTTATGCTCTCCACTTTTGGTCACTTCGAGTTAAAATGAAACACACACTCGCACACATCTAACAAGATTGCCTTATCAATGAACAATGCAGGTTTGGTCGTACTGGAATCTACAAAACCTTCATGTTTGGGAGCCCAAGTATCATCGTTACAACGCCTGAAGCAAGTAAAAAAGTTCTGACAGATGATGATGCATTTAAACCCGGGTGGCCTATTTCCACGGAGGAACTAATTGGAAAGAACTCATTCACTAGTATATCTTTTGAAGAACACAAACGTCTACGAAAGCTAACAGCAGCTCCAGTCAATGGTTATGAAGCACTGTCCTTATATACAACGTATATTGAAGAGAGGGTCATATCATCTTTGGAGAAATGGTCCAAAATGGGAGAAATAGAGTTCTTAACTCAACTCAGAAAGCTTACTTTCAGGATTATCATGTACATCTTTCTCAGCTCAGAGAGCGAGCCAGTCATGGAAGCTCTGGAGAAGGAATATACAATTCTTAACTATGGAGTTAGAGCCATGGCAATCAATCTTCCGGGATTTGCATACCATAAAGCACTTAAGGTGAGGGAATTATTGTTTTCGTAACTTGTACATTAGTATTTGCATTTTGTTTTAGCATCTAACCGAGTCATTTCAGGCTCGGAAAAACCTTGTCTCTACATTTCAATCCATTGTGGACGACCGAAGAGCTCAAAGGAAGGCCGGAAACTACGTGGCAAAGAAGAAAGATATGATGGATGCTCTGCTAGATGTTGTTGATGACGATGGAAGAAAACTTACAGATGCGGAAATTATAGATGTTCTGTTAATGTACTTGAATGCAGGCCATGAATCTTCTGGCCATACAATAATGTGGGCCGCCGTTTTCCTACAAAAACACCCAAAATTTTTCCAGAAAGCTAAGGTACATGAATTTATGGATCAAGTTCTTTTATTTTGTCAAATTTATTTTTAATATTGGGGACTTTTTTACTGGTGCAATGTGACAATTCATCCTACATAGTAATTTCTATCCTTCACTTTGAGTCCATACTCAATCCACTCTGATTTAGTCCTTTAATGAATTCTGATTTGCTAAAATGTTTGGTCAATGCAGGCAGAGCAAGAAGAGATTGTAAAAAGGAGGCCACCAACACAGAAGGGCATGACGTTTAAAGAATATCGAGAAATGGAGTATCTTTCCCAGGTACATAAGTGACTTCACTTCCATTTTTTTCAGCCCCTGCCATCATATTCCAGCTAACCCTTTTAAACTCCATAGGTGATTGATGAAACTCTTCGTGTCGTAACATTCTCCCTTACCGTTTTTCGAGAGGCAAAGAAAGATGTCAATATAAACGGTGAGTGCATGGTTCTAAATGTTTTGTTTTAGAGGAAACAGAATTTGTATATTTGTTCAATAATTTATCTGTTTTGATGTGGAACCACCTTAAAAAATTTACTTAATGGCTTTAATTTCAGGTTATACCGTTCCTAAAGGCTGGAAAGTTTTGGTCTGGTTCAGGAGCATTCACTATGATTCTGAAATATATCCAAATCCATTGGAATTCAACCCGGATCGATGGGATGTAAGTTCAGAAGCACTTTTGGCGTACTGATAATTATGGCAAACAGTAATTTATATCTTGGATCTGACTTGTTTAACTGCTCTCTGCTGGCTCAGAACTACACACCCAAACCATTAACTTTTCTTCCCTTTGGAGCTGGAAGCCGGCTGTGCCCCGGAAATGATCTTGCTAAGCTGGAAATCGCTATCTTCCTTCACCATTTCCTCCTTAACTATAAGTGAGTCATCTTGCAACCAAATTCCTCTCCATGACTAAAATAACAATTTATTTATTTATTCTGTATGTTCTTCTAATGTTTCTGTAATTTGGTGCTGCAGGATGGAACCTACTAATCCGGACGGCCCATTGATGTACTTGCCACACACTAGGCCAAAAGACAATTGCTTGGCAAGAATCAAGAAAACTGGATCTGCATAGACATGAGAGGAGAAGTGAAGAAGAAAACACAGAATGTACTTAATATCGAAGGTTATGAAAACCCAGAGTTTGTGTCTGCCTTATATATTAGCTTTTAGGTCTATGTTTTTGGTTGGCAAGTTTTGAACTTAGATCTGCCCATCTGTTACCAGACTGGAATGGAAATGTGGTTGACTAACAGGGTCAGGTCCCCAGCCCTATAGCACAGACGGGCTGGGTATGATATTGTTATCTTCATCCCCGGCTCAATAAGTGATGTATTTGTTTTTAATTAATAATATATAATATAACAATTAAAAAGTTACCTAAACTTTGTATTCACTTTCATTACAAGACAAGATGTTAGAAACTATAGATCTTTATGAATTCAACTCGAGTCTCTACCAGGAACAACTCATCTCATATCTGCACAACTCCAACTCTTTCTTGCCTCTTCATTTCTGGGATATAATTTCCCTCAATAACACATCCCCATCCTTCTATTACCCATCTAAGAGTACATAATATGTTGAAGCTTTGGATTTATTTTTTTATTATATGATTTTATTAGTTTTTTTCAAATTATATATGATTTTGAATAGTTGAGTGAAATTTTATATTGAGTTGAATGATAGTTTAAGTTCAGATTCTAGTGTTATAATATGGATAATTCCCTGAAGGGATGGCAAAATCCCCGTCAAGTCCCCGACCCTAATGAGGGGGAATTTTCAGGTGGCAGGGGAGGAGATGAGGTGGGTACGTGGATCCTTGATTTTAAAAATACCCGATCGGATATGGGCCGGGCATGATATTGGTATCCCCATTTCCTAATCCGGCTCGATAAGTATTGTATTTATTTTTAATAAATAAATATAATAATTAAAAGTTACCCTAATTCCTAAACCCATGTTATGTACAGACTCATATGTTCTTTATTCCAAAACAATCATTCGCCTTCCCTCTTCTTGATAATTTTAAAAAAATAAATACTTAGTCATATTTTCACTTCCCATATCAAAACTCTATACAAATTCCTCTGTTTATATCTTATGTGAATAGTGGTTGCCATGACAACCGGTGGAAACAGACTTTACTTTTTGCAAGGGAAGCCACTATTCACATGAATAGTAGCTGCCCTAGTTCCCCCCTTGCCTAGGATAAATTATATGTACATTTAATTGTTTATACTATTTACTCCAAATCTGTCCGGACTATGGCCCCAAAAATAGGACAAGTGATTGACTGAAAGTAATTTTATTAATAAAATGAAAATTTATCAATGTGAATAATAAAATATTATTTATCAATGTGAATAATGATAATTAAATTCGCTAGCCAGTCTCTTGGGGTTATTGAAGGCAATTTCTTAATTTCCAAATTTCAATGATGCCCTCCTCTTAAATTGTATGATTGACTTAGGAGTCGCAATTTGTGTAATTTTGAAGTTTTTTTAATTACATTATTATAAAATTAGATGCTATAGTTTAGTCATTGAACATATCCCGACTAGGTGAACTTGGGGTTTATTTTATTTTATATTTTTTTGAGTTGAAGAACTTGGGTTATTATCTATCACAATAATAAACTTCCTATTCATCAATGATGACTTTTCAATAACTTTACTTTCCACATGTTTCGACATCACAGGGGCTTCTTCACACCTTCAATAAAGTACTAAAGTTGACTTCGACCTTAACACTCCTGTCAATTTATGGTGAAATTTTTATATGTTCTGGGTACATCACAACAATTGACCAGAGCAAACACGCCAAACTCGGCCTAAAGGTAGATTAGCTCAGCTAAACCTGTCCTATTTACACATTGTAGAAGGAGGTGATCGTGATCATCAGGAAGAGGTTATTGATTGATTATCAAAATGGCTTCCTTCAATCTCAGTGTGTTGATGACCCTTGTGCTTGGCTTGCTTAGCCTTAGCAGTTCGAATGAAGCTGAATACTGCTACCACTTCTGTTCTAACACAACCAGTTTCACTCCCAACAGCACCTACGAATTCAATCTTAATCTCCTCCTCTCTTCTCTCACCTCCAACGCCACCCGTGAACTCGGTTTCTACAACACCACCGCTGGCTCCCAATATCCCAACGCTGCAGTTTATGGCTCCTTTCTATGCCGTGCTGATCTCACATCTGATGCATGCCAAGTTTGTGTGGCTACTGCAGCCAATGAAACGGTCCAAAAGTACTGCCCCTTAAGAAAAGTCACTATAATTTGGTACGATGATTGCATGTTACGCTACTCAAACGTGTCTTTTTTCGGCAACATGGATGAAGCCCCAAGTGTTTCTTTGTGGAACGTGGGAAATATTACTGATCCAAACCGGTTTAATAAGGTACTGGCGGAAACAATCAATGGCTTGGTGCCTGTGGCAGCAAATATGGCCTCCGGAACTAAAAAGTTTGCTGCAAAAAAAGCAAACTTTACAGCGTTTCAGGAGTTGTACAGCCTCGTGCAATGCACGCCAGACCTGTCAAGCACCGCCTGTGATCGGTGTCTTATAGGAGCTATTGCACTTCTTCCGGCTTGCTGTAATGGGAAGCAAGGAGGAAGAGTTTTGTATCCTAGTTGTAATGTTAGATATGAAGTGTATCCATTTTATACATTTGTTACTGCCCCTCCTCCGCCACTGCTTCTTCCTCCTCCACCTCCTGCTTCAGTTACAAGGTCTCAAGGTAAAATTAATTAATAGCAGCTGGGCTAAGCTATAGCTCATGTATTTGTTCTAATTGGTTAATTATATATTTAGAAAGCAACGTTCGTAGAACTAATTTACACAAACATAGGGATGACCATTAATTTGTGTCTTATACTCTGTGCAGGAAATGATGACCAAATCTCAACTTTGATTATATTGGCCATTGTGGTTCCAATAGCCATATTGCTGTTCTTGGTAGGCTGCTGTTTCTTTAGAAGGAGAGCAAGGAAAAAATACAATGTTATACAACAACAAAATGGTAAAAAAATACATTGAAAAGTTTTATAACTTCCTTTCCAGACCCAACTTATGTATTCTCCTCTCTTGAACAATTCGATTCCTAATCGTGTTCGTTAGTTTATTAGTCCATAATTAATTAATAGCTCCTACTTCTTGATTGTGCAGTGGGGAACGAAATTAATAGTGTGGAGTCATTGCAGTTTGATTTGCGTACAATTGAAGCAGCCACGGACAATTTCTCTGATCAGAACAGGTTAGGGGAAGGTGGCTTTGGTGAGGTTTATAAGGTTGGGATTTTGGCTTACCAAATCTGGTGAATTTAAGTCATGCCAGAGTTCATCAAAATATGTTAAACTTACGAAAGTTGTACTTAGATGTTTGTAAAGATTATTGGTTGCAATATTTTCAGGGTACACTTCCTGATGGGCAACAAATAGCTGTGAAGAGGTTATCTACAGGCTCCGGGCAAGGTGCCGAAGAGTTTAAAAATGAGGTGGTTTTGGTAGCTAAGCTTCAGCACAGAAATTTAGTGAGGCTATTGGGATTTTGCTCTGAAGGAGAAGAAAAGATACTTGTTTACGAACTTGTGGAGAACAAAAGCCTTGACCACTTTCTATTCGGTTTGTGCCCTTCTAACATCACGTGTGATACCATATGCTATTTGATTAGTTGATGATAAAATTACACTTCACTTTCTAATTCACAAACCAAGCGCAACATTCCCAAGAGGCAAAGCCACTGAGGAAAATAAAATATCTTTCAGAATTATGTTTGTATGTCTATTAATTTGTCTTAATTCTAGTGAAATGAAATGAATTCCTCCGTATTTATGTTTGTATGTCTGTTGTTTTACTTATTCTAACCTGTATACTTCTATTGGACAAATGTGTGCAGACTCTGAGAACCAAGTAAAATTGGATTGGTCAAGCAGATACAAGATTATTGGCGGGATTGCTCGAGGGCTTCTCTATCTCCATCAAGATTCTCGGCTTAAAATCATACATCGCGATCTTAAAGCAAGCAACATATTGTTAGATGGGGGCATGAACCCAAAAATTGCAGATTTTGGCATGGCAAGAATAGTTGGAGTTGACCAAACTCAAGGGAGCACAAGAAGGATTGTGGGAACATTGTAAGTAATAACAGAACTTTGTTTATGTTCACATAATCTGCATAAACGAGTTGATTGATTTTCTCATCCTGAAAAGTAATCACTAGAAAGAAAAGATATCAAATTGATATCTCAAGAATTCACCTCAACTCAGACAAGATGGAGAAGCTCTGTTAATGCAGGGTTCTTTCTTATATATGCTTCCGCTAGTCTTATCAGATAGGCACTACTGGTTACCCTGTTTATGAATTACAAGTTAATTGATGCTGCTGGTTTGTAGTGGTTACATGTCTCCAGAATATGCAATGCACGGACAGTTCTCTGTGAAGTCCGATGTGTACAGTCTTGGTGTCCTGATCTTAGAGATTGTAACTGGCAAGAAGAACACTAGTTTCTATAACTCAGACCGTGGCGAAGACCTCTTGAGCTATGTGAGTATAAGCTGAATACTCATGGTCAACCTTTTTAGAATGAGTCTGTTACTAAAAATAAATAAAAAATTTGCAGGCTTGGAGACATTGGAGGGACGGGACACCCTTAGAATTATTGGATCCAAATCTAAGAGATTCTTATGCAAAAGCTGAAGTAACTAGATGTGTCCATATCGGGTTACTCTGTGTTCAGGAAAATCCAGATGAGAGACCCACAATGCAATCCATAGTTCTCATGCTAAGCAGTTACTCTGTTACTATGGCATTACCTCAAATGCCAGCATTTTTCCTGCATAGTAGAACAGAGCTGAACATGCCATCATTAACCACTGAATCATCTGATCCAACTACTAGCAAGTCGTTGCCATTTTCTATTAACGAAGCATCAATTACTGAATTATACCCACGTTAGTGTATATCGAACAATCTTGCAGGACTGTACTTTGGAAGTTCTTTGATTTTGTTTCATTTCTCTATGCGTTTCATGGTTGATCTAGCTGTTTTGTTTATTGTTAGTATAGTTAGTCTCTGCTCCGTAGGCATAGGGGCCTCTGTATTGGTTTGGTTGCCGATGTAGCGTTGTCTTTATTTGACAGTGTTTGCTTCTTATAATATTATGATTCGAGGGTTCAATCACCTTGTTAATTATATATTTAATATTCTACTCGTAGAGTATAGCCGCGCAACTATACTTTTGAAATATATTTTACTTGTTGAGTATATCAGCGCGGCTACACTTCTGAAATATTTATTTAATATTCTACTTATATAGTATAGCCGCACTACTATACTTTTGACATGGTATGTAGTTTATAAAAAATATATATAAACTTAGTATCTTAAGGTCAATAATTTTATAAAAAAAAAATTTCTTTTTTTGTAATTAAGTAATATCTTATCATTTTTTAAGTTAGTTATATTTGTAGTTATGTTTTAATTATGATTTCTTTATTGAAAATTAATATTAAATATTTTAATTAACTTGATAAAATATATTACTTAATAAATAGTAATTAACTTTTTTCTTGAATAAAATATTTAAATACTAATTATTCACCAACTAAATATTAATTAAAACAAAACTAGTTATTAAAGTAATTAAAAAAGAGAAATTAATATTATGCTATTTAACGGTATAGCCGTACGGCTATATGTTTGAAACTTTCTATTCAAAGAGTATAGCCGGTCGGCTATACTTACGAAACTTTCTATTTAAAGAGTATAGCCGGTCGGCAATACTGTTGAAATGTTTTTCTTAAAACGTATAGCCGCCCGGCTACACGTTTGAAATATCTTGCCAATTTTTAGTTACTGTCATTTGTAATTATGTTTTAATTATTATTTCTTTAGTGAATAATTAGTATTAAATATTTTAATTAACTTCTAAAATTATATTACTAATAAATAGTAATTAATTTTTTTCTTTAATAAAATATTTAAATACTAATTATTAATTAAATCAAATTTCAATGATGCCCTCCTCTTAAGTTGTGTGATTGACTAAGACGGAGTGGCAATTTTTGTAATTTTGAAGTTTTCTAATTACATTATTGTAAAGTTAGATGCTAAAGTTTAGTCATTGAACTTATCCCGATTCGGTGAACTTGGGTTATTATCTATCACAATAATAAACTTCCTATTGAGTTTAAACCAAAGCTCATATTTATGAGTTTTAAACCATTCTTATCGTTTTCTAGCATTAAATCCAAATTACCTAGTGGCTAATTAATAAGTTTCTGAAACTTTGCAAGAAAAAAATGTAAGTATTTAATTAGATTGCATACAAGGTAAAGTGGGTTCATTCTTTAATTGGAAGAAATGCCCAATAGTGTCCATCTTACTTAGAGGGCATGACAGTGGTTAAGATTTTGAATGTTTTGAGTTCAAGATGCATTGAAGAAGAAAAAGAATACAAATCAAACGCATTGGAAATTCAATAAGAGGGTAATTTTTTTAAAAATCCAATTCAAAGATACACATCCAATTTCTTAAAGCCTCATGGTCATCATGGTTTTTCCATTGAGGTCATCATTTCCGCAATTGCCTCTATATTCTTCTCCACTGACAACCACAAGTCATTCAAATCAACATGACTCAATTTTTGCAACCAGTCAGCTGGAAGGCTCCCGTAAATGGCTTGTATCATCATTTCCTTCTCTTGGTTGTCATTCATCTGTTTCTTCAATTTCTCATCAGCTTTAAGTATCGTTTGCCTAAGAAAGCTTTCTTGATTCAGGATGTTCCTACTCCTTTCCATCTTGGACATCTGCTTAAACCTTGTGATTGTTCGTAGGGCTCCATCAGGGCATGGACTAACATCAGGGTTGGCTTGATGCTGACCATAAATTACTGCACATGCATCAGTTCCACATAGAATACTGAGTTCACCTACCTTTTTCATCAGTCCGCTCTTCCTTTTCTTGAAGGTGGTTTTTCTTGCAGCATCATTTTTTATGTATGCAAGGTCAATTTTCTTTCTTGTCATGAAGAGGTAGAGCTAGTGATTCTTGTTGGAAGAGATTGGGAGATTTGATGATTTTAAGGTGGCTCTGTTGTAGTTTCATTCTCCTAAAAGCAAAGCAAGGTATATATAGAGTTGACGATGTTTTAATTGTAAAGCCAGATAGATGTGGGTTGGTTGGACCATTTATGGTGTTGAAATAAATTATGGATGACTCATTTGTTTAGTGTAAACATATCTGGCTAGTATTGAGGTTCATTGGTCCAATTGGAATTTTTTTTCTTGATACAAGCGATAGCTTTATTTTAATCTAATCTAAATTACGGAAAGAGGAATTCAAACTCAAAATGCAGAATGAGGAGCACACCCACTCTAATCAACTCGGCTAAAGTCATGTCTGTCTCTCTTTGACACTTATGTTATGTATGTAGTATTGAGGTTCATTGGTCCAACGCATGAGGAAAATGTTCTGTTCGTCCTGATATTTTACTGTCCAGTCCAGTTATGTGTTTTTAGCGTTCATTCATGTCTCTTGGTAAAAGTAATTTGTAATATTGGACCCATATATGGACACGCCCATGGCCCTTCCAATCTCACTTAGGCCCAACCTCTTTTACAACCAAGGAAAGTTCTTGATTTGCTTTCTATTTTTCACTTTAGACAAATTATATTTTTGGTCCCTTAGTTTAACCTGTTTTTCACTTTTGTCCTTATCATTTCACTTTTGAAAATACCAGTCCTACATTATTGTTTAGGTAGCAATCAAGTTCTAAATGTCTAAAATTTTTAAGGAAAATAAATGAAATAATTCGCTTTGTGTTGATTGCAACAATTTGGAGAGACGAAGATTTCCTTGCATGTGGTAGTTTCATATTGCTACATCGAATTTGATCTATTAGTATGATGAAGTTTACAATTTGAATTTAATTTGTAAGAGATGTGTTTACACTATAATCAATCGAGCATATCCAGCCTCAAAACAACTAGCACCAAGGCAGACACGCCTTCTCCCCTGCCGAAGGAAGACACTCTTCCAAGGTGCTAGACACCTGCTGAAGCTCCCGACTGCCGAAGCTCTCAAATTGTCAAACCTAATCTCCAAGACACGTGTCACCACCACAGCGACTTGCACAAAGTCCCACATCGAAATTCTATGCAAACCACCCACTTTCACTTCCCTATAAATAGGGAACAATACTCAAGTAAAAGGGGTAACTACTTTCTTACTTTTACTGTTACTCTGCCAAAGTTACTACTCTTAGCTAACTTAAGCATCGGAGAGCCTTCGGCCGGCACCACACTGGTGTCCGAAGCTTAACGACTGCTTCTCCCACTTTGTCTTCTGCAGGTTCTTCCCTTGTTGAAGGTTCTCACCTTCTCCACTGCTGAAGACAAACCTATTTTCTCTAAGTTGATTCGAAAAATAGCATCAACAGTTTTACTTTCTTACTTTTATTGTTATTCTGTCAAAGTTACTACTCTTAGCTGACTTAAGCATCAGAGAGCCTTCGGTCGGCACCACGCCGGTGTCCGAAGCTTAACGACTGCTTCTCCCACTTTGTCTTCTGTAGGTTCTTCCCTTGCTGAAGGTTCTCACCTTCTCCACTGCTGAAGACAAACCCCTTTTCTCTAAATTGACCCTCTCCGAAAAAGAGCATCAACAAGATGTAATTTGTTAAGAACTATATCGAGAACAAAGAAGTTTCGTGCTATTAACACACAAAACAAGGAGATATAACTCTTGTATCATTAGATATAAAAATATGAATAATACTAGTCTTACTACATTTTTTATACTATAATTTTATACCGTATGATGTGGCAGCTGATGTGTACATATCACATCATGTAAAATACTAGTTTCTGTTTTTCTAATTTTATTCATTAAAATAAATTTCATTCATTTAATTGATGTGGCATATGATATGGACATGCTACATCATGTGATATAGAAATGTGGGATAAAAATGTGGTAAGTGTAGCATTACTCTAAAAATATTTGGCAAAAGAGTTTGTGCATAAATCTTGGTTATATTTGAGTGATCACCTAACAAAAAAATTATTATTATTATTTTTCAAAAAAGTTGAATTATAACTAGAAGAAAAATAACAAAAAGTCAAATTATGTAATAATAACATGTATGTAAGGGGATCTCCAACTCTCTCACTCGAATGCCCACTGGTTCTCCTTACGAATTTTCTCTTCTTCCTTCTATTGATCATGTCTGCCACAGTTTGACAGGTCAAATCCAGCAGACTCTGGATGTTCAGATAGTTTGCAGCCAAGATTAGGTCAAACAGAGTGCTCTAGTCCACCTTCACGAACCCAGCATCCCAATTCTTAATGTCCTCTTTGTTCTCACCATCGACATGCTCTTCATGGTGCTTCTTGCAGTACTCGATGACCTTCGCTAGGATGATACTAGTCACATTTGGCAAAGGTATCGCACCGTTGGCACAATCATCCTCCACCATGTGCTTGATGGTCTGCGATTGCATGGCCACAGCCTCCTCCACCTCGAAGGTCTCACCGTCATCACTCTTCAAGGTTATCTTCTTCATCTCATCGGAGGTCATTGATTTGCTCGCTCTTTGTAATATTAACTAAGACTTTGAGTTGAGAACTTGGGAGAGTTTTTCTTTTCTGGCTTTGGAATGGTTGAGTAATTCGAGTTTCAAAGGTTGATAGACTTGACGTGATTTTATAGCCTACTCGTAGCACTATGTTCGTGTAGGAAAATGTTTCTCGTATTAGGAAAAGAAAAGTCAGGTAACAAAAAGGAAAGGGATTTTTTTTTCTTTCTTTTTTGTCGTATATCCTTTTTCATGTAGCATGATTTTATGCAACCATATCAGCCAAATTTTTGATGAATTAGGCAAAGAAAAGTTGGCTGATGGCCGAAATCGAAAGTTTCTTTTCCTTTTTTATTCTCTTCTTCTTCTTCACATTCCTACGTTACGCGTCTCAATTTTCCTAAAAACTGTACTATAACATAAAAAATTTAATTTTTTTTATTATAAAAAAGTAGCACATTTAGGGAAACATTAATACATGAAAATAAAGATATAAATATCATAACATTAAACATCAATATTACACAACATAGAACGATTTTGTCTAAAATTAAATGAGAAGTCGAATTAACTCCTATAAGAACAAATGAACATACATAGACAATATGCATGAACAATACAAATCGCATGCATATGAATGAAAGATAGCTTACAAATACTTAGATACATATATAGAGAATGAATGATTGCAAAAGGAAAAATTAAGACATTGGGTTGTAAGTTGGGGGACCTCCCGATGTCTTGTCAGAAGAACGAGCCTGATGAGCTGTGTTAGTAGTATTTTGAGGCGCATGAGCTACCATTTGATGATCATGCGCAAACTTTTCTCCAGCTCTAGCAATGTCCCCAGCTTTCGCCACATGCAATGACATTGATGCCTCGGCCTCTTTAGCCAATCTCACCTCATGAGCTACATCGGTTCTCGCCTTGGCTATTTCTTTCTCAGCCTACAATACATATGCAATTAGAATCCACAAATAATTTAATTAAAAAAATATGTAGAGAGAGAGTTTTTTTTTATAATTCGTATATGCTAAGATTATGTGAGCGACATTTACTGACTACATGTTGTGGACTATATTTTAAAACCTATATGTATAAGTCATTTCATATTTTGTAGAGATGCAGTTGGTGATGTAACCCAGAAATATGATCCATGTGCGTTATCTTACTGTAGAGTGTTGTAAGATACATACCCTCTCTTCGGCCCTGGCCTCGGCCTTGACCTTGCGCAGTGCGCCCATTTCATTTATCTTGTCCTTCACAGCCTGCATCTTGCCTTTTCTCTTAACAATAACCTTACAAAAATTTAATCAACTATAGAATGCTCTAAATGGACAATGCTCAAATGTACCATATATATAGAGATGTTTAAACGATCTAGCAGTGCAGGTGATCTCTCTCTCTCTCTCTCTCCTCTCTCTCTCTCTCTCTCTATGTTGTGGATGTATAGTTGACACATGTCAAGCATGCATATGTTTACTATAAACTAGTGGGCGATGTTGAAGAGACTTGCATCAAGTGCTCTAAATTCTAATCCCCAGATGCCAATTCAAGATCCGGTTTTTAAGTTGAATAACATATTTCTAAATAAGGTCTTTCATTGAGGTACGTTTTTCAACTGGGGATAATTCCATTAACAGCCCCCTTCAACTTTGGACTTAGTCTCACCTGATTTCATAACGATATCTTTTACCTATGACCGAGGTCTTGTGTTCAAAATTCTCCTCCCTAATATCACTTGAACTGAGAAAAAAAAGTGCTATGGTTGGAACAGTCTTATTAATAACTGCAAATCTTGTCTATTATGCCAATGCCCTCACAAATTGTGAGTGGGCATAGTCTGGAGTGGATCGATTTCATCTCAAAATAGTGACCGAACTAATTACAAATTGTGAGTCACAATTATCTCATCGCATAAACAACACAGTGTTAAGTCCCAAAAGTTCTGTCAAAAGGATGTTTCAGATTAAAAATAAAAACTTTGGGCTTGGACCCAAAAAAATAAAAAATAAAAAAGAGAATGTTTTATTCAGTACATTCATGGCATGTTTACATCGAATTAGGAGGAATTAAATTGAGGAGAAGTTGGATTAAGGAAAATTAGATTATGAATTCCTATTGAAGTTGTTTATTAAATCATATGGATTGAGGAGAGTTAGATTTCGGATTCATATTGAAGTTGTTTACTAAATCATATGGAATTGGGGTAGTAGTGGTACAAATTACTAAAATGTCTATATTATTGGGTTAAAGTAGATGGAAAATTTGGAAATTTTAAAATTGTGTGAGTATATAATTGGTAAAAAAATGAATTTCTAATGGATTAGTTCTTCAGGAATTAGAGTACCACCTCCCACCCAAGAATTGAATTCTTGCAAAATCATAAATTCAATTCATAATTTTATGTGGGCCCTACTTACGTTTTAATTTATTGATGTGAAGTAAACCCAAGAATCCTCCATAACTGAAATTCAATTCCTAATTCTAATTCTAATTCCTTATTAGCAACACACCATCACATCATTTAATGTGTGGGGGAATCAATCAGCAAGAATGACCTTAGCCAGCTTATAATTTTCCGTACCAAAGCAAGCTTGCATCAGACAAAAAATTAACAAACAAATCTGATTTTGAGGTTTCTCCTGGCAGGATGAGGAACAAATTAACCGACGTTGGCCAGCTCGGGCAATGCTAGATGCACTGATCCATTGAACCGAGTAATTCTCCAAAATGAAGGAAACTGCTATTTACATTTGTTTGGCGTTAAATTTTCAACATAAAAATAAACTACAAATGGTTCCCACCACAGTGGTGGATTACCCCTTCCTCCCATGGCACCTATCAAACCTCAGTGGGGTTTTTTTTCCTCCAATATATCCACACACTCAAAAAAAAAATTTTAAAAAATCACTATTATATCTAATATAGGAGCCCAAATTATTAAAAAAAAACCTATATGAAATGGATTTTAGAAACACACCCAAAACTCATTTACAACATAACAAAAAGGCTTATAACTTTTTTAAAATTACAAAACTATCATTGATTTCTTAAAACAAACTCAATTCCAAAACCTTATAAAAAAAAGCCCAAAACACCTAATAGGGCATCAAAATAATTTAATAATCAAAATTAAATTCAATAGGATCAACTATCATTTTTTAGATTTGTTTATAAAAATTAAATAGTGTAGAGTTTATTTATATCAAAAAAAAAAAAAAAAAAAAAAAAAAAACCACAAAAAGCACACGCCAGAAAAAGAAGGAAAAAATAAATTGAGTTTGTCAGCAAATCGAAGCGGAAAAAAAGTTTGGCTTTGCTGGTGTCTTGATCAAATAAGTGCCGTATCCTCTATTCGGGTAGCCCAAGTCTACAACGATAGAAAGAGAAAGGGAAGAAGAGAGTGTGGCAGGTCTCGGTACCATCAACGACTAAACAAGACAGAGTTCTAAACCCACCACTACAGTCGCACGTCAAGAAGCCGAAAGGAATTCTGCCTCAATAGCTCAAAGTTGCAGAAAGTATACACATGTTGTGTAAATTATATGTATGTAATATCCGTAATTTATGCGCACGTATGTATCTTTGCAGTGGGGTTTAGACCCCGCCAACTGAACAGTAAAGAAAGCCAAGACCACCACTTGGCTGCCAACAAGAATTTGAGTGGTGCAAGTAATCTAATTCAAGCAAGATAGGGCGTCTGGTCCACAAAGGTTTATGGACTCCGCAGTTAAAGCCCAGCTAAGTGAAGCCATGTGATGATTGGGCTCAAAACCCAAATGTGAAGTGGACTAAACCCATCAAATGGGTGTGCAAATCAATTCACCCAAGATCGGGTTCCACGCTTGATGGATTTGAGCCATCTCAAATTTACACTATGTCGGTTTGATCCTGCCAAGAGTACGTTGGCAGTCTAGCATCCCACTAGATGCAACCGCAACCAAATTTGAATCCCAACTTAATCAAATTCATCCCCAAACACTAGCATCTCCATACCCAAATCTCCATCCAAATATCCATCACCATAAATCAAAAATTACTCCCAATGAACTACGAGTTGGCTTGATTCCATCAATAGGATACGTAGGCAACTTGGTATTCGTTCCAAGTGCACCCACAAAACCAAACAAATCCACTTTTCCCCCAAATTGTGTTTTCCTCATAGTTTTAATTAAGATGTGTTTCTTTTTTTATGTTCGTCATAAGAGATTGTAATTAAGAGATATTGTTATCTTGAATGAGTCGAACTGAATTAATAAAAACCTTTATTCTCTTCGAATATTACGGTGCGTTTGGACGAGAAAATTTAAAAGTACAAAGGACTTCATAAATAACGGAATTTAAAATGACGGAAATTAATGTTCTAGAATTTGTAAAGTTTCTTGTTTGGATAACGGATTTAAAACATGGAATTTAACCTTTATTTGTAAAGTCATTTTTTTTAAAACTCAATCTCTCTTGGGATTTTAGAAATGACAATTTTTATATATAATTTAAAGTTGGGATTTATGATTTCCAAATTCCATGGTTTTTCCCATGCAAAATTTCTAAATTTCTATGTTTTTTTTATTCATATATGGGAATTGGTTCATGTCAATTTAGAAATTCTGACTTTTGTCAAAATCCCAAGTTTATTTCCCTCATCCAAACGCACCGTTAGTGAAATTGTGTTGGGAGATCGTGTTCACATTTTCCCTCAACAACATTATTTCATTTGTCTTATCAGCACTAATACATGGAGAACGATATTATTTTCCATCAGAGTTTATCTTCTTAAAGATTTTAGTTCACATCAACAAAGCTGTCCTTTGACTACATCAAACCAGAAAATATCAAGTAAAATTACAGGCAATTCATTTTTCAGCTGAACTACACATAAGCCTAGCTTCCACGGTACGTTGTGAATGAGAAAGGTGACAGCAGCAGAGGAACATGAAAATGTTCCCGCGTCTGTGACTCTTTGATTTCAAACACGATAGAAACATAAGGAAAGAACCCACCCGGGCAGTACTTACCTGTGTTAAAATTATCCTGTATATGCCTGGGTTCACTACATCAACTATGCTCATCAACTGACCAATTCGACCATCATTATCCGTAGTTGAACACCCTAGACACAGCCAACTGCCTACATCTGACTCACCAAACATGGGACGAGGTTGAGGACCCTTCCACATTTCCAAACATACCTCAACACCGGCACCTGGAGATCCTTGAGAAACATCCAAGACATGGGTTGTGACGGGTGGACGGGTTCGAGGTGGAGCTTGAGGTTTTTTAACAGATGAAGCATCGGAAGCAGCAGTTAGATGCGCTCCAATAACGCTCACACGATCTTCTAGGGTTCCAAAAAATCAATAACATTAATTTAGAAATTGTGATTTTTTGGAGAAATGAGAAAGTTGAATTAAGAATTCTCAAAAGTTTATAGTTGTATGTCCGCTGGAAAAAACATACCAGATATCTGTTAGAAAGCAAGAAATGGACACAAATTAACAGAGCAGTTCAAGTAGCCTTGGGTTGAATTCAGAGGGAAATATTGGTAAACAAAATGTTAAGTAATATCATACTCAGCCTTTTCCAATTTTACACAGTGCACATTATGTGAACTTAGAATAAGTGATGCCTAAATCTTTAGTATGACTACTCAGGAAAGTTGTCATAGTATGTTAATGTAAAATAGACAATCCTAATACTGTGATACAAGCAAAGCCCAAAACTGCATAAAAGCATAATGAGGAATTGAAATTACAATTAAGGAAGAAATGGAAAAGAAATCAAAAGTACCTTCCACTTTCTTTGCAAGTGTGGGATTCTTGTTGCATGTGGAGGTAACATTTTCTTTGGTTGAAAAGAGCTTCGCAAGACGGAGTTCCGTTATTTTCATCTGCTCCTGAGCTGCAATCTCAAACTCAGCTATCGGCCTGTTTGGATATCGTTTCTGCAATGAGGAAAAGTAAATTTATTAATTGAGAAACAATTTATGCAAAGTCTGTAGAGCATGGTCTTGGCAGAAGTGGTATCGTTCTCCCCATTCCACAAGCATCACAAAATCAACATCAGCACGAGGTCTGGTGAATATCTCATGTGCCAAGCACAATATGTATTTGAACATGGCCAAAAATAAGGACAATAGCAACTGCTCTTCAAGTGTTGGTCTTTGTTTACTGCATTGCTAATAGAAGACCAAGGTTTGTCATTGTTTGATTTCATGGCGATTGCTAAAACGCAGGATATCTCATGTACACAATTTCTTCAGAGAGGGACACATTCATCATTTATCTCATACTTGTCCAAATGCATTGAAATTGTTGGTTAAGCTCTTTATTGAGGCAAAAATGAGCTGGGTTATTCCAGCATCCCATACTAATTTATTTGCTGCCAAACACTGTTTTGGGGAGATATTGGAAAAAGTGCTTGAAAAATTACCTTCAACTCAGCAAGTATCCCATCAGTACTCTTTCTAGATGCACAAATTAGAAATACAAACCCAAACTTCTGCCTGTATTTAGCATTCCATTCAGACAGTTCCTACAAAATCCAGGATTATAACATTCAAATAAACAAACAGAAATGGAAACATCAAATTATTTTTCTTTTTCTCACTTCTACAAACTATTAAAACAGGAAGAAGCAAGCACAGCAAAACCTTAAGTACATTTGATTTCTTTTGAAGGGGGAATAAGGGCTTAAAAAAAATATTCATTAAGTTTCTGAAGCCCACAAACCTGCAAGCTAGAATTAGTGGCAGTTGCTAAGGCAGTTGCCTGCTCTCCCTTACTCCACCTGCAAAATTATGTCTAGACCACTTATTTCAATATAAGTGCATATCTAAAAAAACTGGAAGGAAAAAGAAAGGGAGTTGAATAGCATCAATTAGGCAGCACTCAACAAGGGCAGTCGTCTTTTCTTTGCTCATATATGTATTTATATATACTGACAAAAAAAACTACAAGGCGTCTGGCAAAAAATGTAACTTTAAAGGCCTGGTCAAGATGGTAAATGAAATCCAGCCTAAACACAACTTGGTGTAAGAAACTGAGGACTGAAATGGTCAACCCATTTGTTTAAAACATTAAAATGTAAACTAAAGAAACAACAGCATTAGAATCTTAACTGAATATGATACTAACACTAAAAGCATCGAGTAACTAGTGCCCAGTAGTACTGAGCCATCATTAAAAAGTTAAATTAGAACACAGTAAGTTAAATACAAATTCAGAGAGAAATAAGGTCAAATAAATAAGTAAACACAGTAAGTTTCAGCAAGCCAGAGCAAATCCATTGATGACATGAATAAACTCAATCTACCAAAACCCAGGAAGATATTGATGAGTTTAAAACCCGAACTGGGCTTCTCTGTAAGATACAAAATAACCATTTTTATTTTAATTGCCTTAATTGAAGGTTAGGAAGAAGGAAAAAAAATGCTAACAATCCATCTGATCAGCAATGGTGTCAAAATTCAAGTACCCTTAAAATCTTTACATAAGTTATGTAGATTTCGTTCACGGTTGTCAAAATTTAAACAAAAATTTGTGAATTAGTAACAACTAAAGAAAATAAAGAAAATAAATAAGAAGAAAAGGTTAAGCAACTGAACTGAGCAGAGGTGGCGTTAGAAGAAGAAGACGAGTGTCCGATCTGAGGATGCGCAGAGAACGCTTGGAGCCAAGCATTGACATCAACCTGGTTGAACCAAATTTCTCTGGCCGCCGTCACAGCTTCGTCGAGAGATGAGAAAGGGGATGCCTTCGCCATTTCTTTGGCGAATTTGGTGCTTCCACAACACGCTAAGAACTCGTCCTCCTCAAATTGTAATCCCATTTTTCTCTTTCTTGAATAGATAAAAATAAAGATCTTCTCTTCTCTGCTCTCTATGATACTACGAGACTGGACTCTGGAGATTGAGGGGACAATCAAAAGGTCATGACGAGAGTAACGAGCGAACTATATTTGCCTCTTATAATTAGTTTTTACATTTTGCTCCTTAACTAAATTTTTCATTCAAATCATCCCTCTATTCTTTATTATTCGTCAAATTGAGCCTACCTTGTGACTTCGTCAATATTACCGTTAATGTAAGGGCTAAAATCGTCAATTTATGTGGCAGGCAAACATGGGCTTGGATTCCATGTGGACAACAAATTTTTTTTTCTTTTCTAGGACCTTTAACTCACACACGCAACACGGATGTTAGGACTTTAATATGTGAGTTCTTTTTATGAAAATGTTTCCCATGAGAATGAAAACAATTTTTTTTCTTTTTTCTACAAGTACACGTGAACTTGTTTTCATTTTATGAAAACATTTTCAGTGTTTTCTGTTTTTGGGCTACCGAACGTGTTTTTGCTTTATTTTTGTTTTTTGAAAATGAAAACAACCCCTTAAAACGTTACCGAACGAGGCCTTAACTTTCAATAAGTAAATAAATAACAAAAATTAATTAAAAACAAAAACCCAACAACCACCAAAGCTCCCATACCCACCCACCCACCCGACTTGTCAGCCATCCCATATGGTCGGCAAAAACCACCTCTCCCCTTGACGCCGATAAATCCTCCTTTCCTCTCTCTATCTCTATGTCTCTATGTGCCAATCCATATATGGATCCCAAGATCTCTGTGTAAATGATGAGCAACAACGACATCAACAGGTGGTCCAAACAATTTTCACAAAATACTCCAAACTTTCCAGGACCATATTGGCCTCAGACAGTTTCATAAGTAAATCCTTCGGGATGTTCTTCACTACCTCTCAATGGTCTTAAGGAAGAAGCCAAACCCTCAAGCATGTCAAGCTTTTCCAGCTTTGCAACCAACTTCTCAAGCGTGTCCCCAGAGCGTCAAAAAACAGAGAGTGTTCGGTGTCTCCCTCCCAAAACTTTGATTCCTATTTCTTTTTTCTTGAAAGTTCTGTTTTTTCATGATACATTTTATTTCTCTGTTCTGATTTCTCGTTTTTTTTTCTTTCTACCAAAAAAGTTCACTATGTGACCACATGTAGAGTAGTCCATTTTACATTAGAAATTCTGAACAATGTCCATTTTACACCATGCAAGAACCAACCTTGAAAGATAACAACTCATGGACAGATTTAATGAAAGGAGTTCCCAAGTACAACGTCAAAAACTGACTATTGATGTCAAGAATCTTGGGGATTAGGCCGTAACAATGCAAAGATCGCTGGGTTAGGTGGAAGGACCCCAACATACTACTGGTGATGTTTTATAAAATCATTCTTCTTCTGTTTGGTGATGGTGTTGCCTTTTTCAGACTTGTGAGAATCCTCTCATCTTTCTTGATAATGTCAAGAACAGCACAAGGTGTGACTGCAGTAAAATAATGCAGATTCCCTCCATTCCTTGGATACAAAACTGATGTCCCACATGGTGCTGTTAAAACCTTGTCAACCGCCAGCTTTGCCAATCTTACTGTAATGGACGGAAACTTCATCAGCTTTCCCATATCTTAAACCTCAAAATATGAAAATCAATAACTTGACTTTTTCAAAATAGTATAGCCGCGCGGCTATACCTATTCTGACCTGGAGTCCCCCTTTTTTAAATAAATAGTATAGCCAGGGCTATACTCGGTTTAATGAAAGGAGTTCCCAAGTACAACATCAAAAACTGGCTATTTGTGAAACCCCATATTTTTAAATATGTATATTAATATTTTATAAAATTAAATATTTATAATTATTAGTTTTCAAAACTATATAGCCATTAACTAGTATAGCCTATCAAATCTTATTGAATGGCTTTAACTATATCAATTCATTTCAGCCTTATTTAATATTATATATAACACTATACAAAGGCATTTAGGAAGGTTTTTGTTTGCTTACTAAGCTTTCTGTTAAAGATTGACGTGTTGCAAATATGGAGTCCTCAAAACCAATTAAAGCATGAGGTGGGATATGTTGGCATGAGGTGTAAGCACAATAGGTATTCTTATATATAAAAACTTAATTGGAGAGTGCTCACTAAGCACTTTACAAAGCCAACACATAAGGCTATTTGGGGTGGCAGATTATTTTCAAGCCACCCAAGTAGTCTAGCAACCTATAGGCTAGTTATGTGGCACAATATTAAGCTTTCATCTATATCTTGCCCGACTCTAGCTTGCTATAAATAGCACTACCTTATAGTTCTTGTATCATAGGTTCTTCAAGTTGCGTTAGTTTCCTAAAAATAGGAGACAAAGAAAAAAAGAGTGAGAACTAAAGTGTGGTGAGATTTTGGATAAGCTCAAAGTGTTTGGACTTGCAGCTAGGAGTTATACAATAGCTTTGGATTTGAGGTAGGGGTTTTTCTTGGGGAAGCTTTACATAAATTGATTTAATTAAATACTGTGAACACTATATTATGCTTTGTAATATTATTTGATTATTATCTTTGATATTGGGTGTTTGCATGTTGTCACCAAGCATAATATAGTGTTCACAGTATTTAATTAAATCAATTATGTAAAGCTTCCCCAAGAAAACCCCCTACCTCAAATCCAAAGCTATTGTATAACTCCCAGCTGCAAGTCCAAACACTTTGAGTTTCTCTGAAATCTCACTACACTTTAGTTCTCACTCTTTTTTTCTTTGTCTCCTTTTTTTAGAAAACTCACGCAACTTGAAGAACCTATGATATAAGAACTCTTAGGTAGTGCTATTTATAGCAAACAAAAAGCTTAGTAAGCAAAAAAAAACCTTTCTAAATGCTTTTGTAAAGTGTGTTAAATATGTATATATATATATATAAAATAAATATTAAATAAGGCTGAAATGAATTGATATAGTTAAAGCCACGCAATAAGATTTGATAGGCTATACTAGTTAATGGCTAGATTTGTTAGAGTTATATTAAGTTTAGCCAAGTAGTCTGAAGCTTGAAGCTCCAGTAGGTTTACTGCCAACAAGAGCTATTGATCATCGAATTCCTTTGCTCCCAGGCACTAGTCCGATTAATGTAAGACCATATCGGTACCCCCACATTCAGAAGGCTGAAATCAAAAGACAAGTGGCTGAGATGTTGTCCACAGGAGTCATAAGAAAGAGTTCAAGTCCTTACTCTTCACCAGTAATTTTGGTAACAAAGAAAGATGATTCTTGGCGATTTTGTGTGGATTACAGGGCTCTCAACCAAGTAACAAGCAAGGATAGGTTTCCCATTCCGGTAATTGAAGAACTGCTGGATGAACTCAATGGGGCCACAGTTTTCTCTAAATTGGATTTGCGTTCAGGTTATCATCAAATTCGTATGTCGGAAGAAGATATTCCCAAAACGGCCTTTCGTACTCACGAAGGGCACTATGAGTTCCAAGTTATGCCCTTTGGCTTAGCAAATGCCCCCTCCACCTTCCGAGCTGACGACATTCTGGTGTACAGTAAGACATTCTCTGACCATGTTGAGCATTTAGCAACCATATTTGAGACCCTGCGACAACATCAATTGAAAGCCAAACTTTCCAAGTGTTCTTTCGGTCAACCTTTCATTGATTACTTGGGACACACTGTTTCAGCTTCTGGGGTTGCTGTAGACTCCAAAAAAATTCAAGTTATTCAAGAATGGGAAAAACCAACAACAGTAAAAGGCCTCAGGGGGTTTCTTGGTTTGGCAGGATATTACAGAAGGTTTGTGAAGGACTTTGGTTCTATTTCCAAACCATTGACAAATATGCTTAGAAATGACAATTTTATCTAGACTCCAAATGCTACAGCAGCTTTCACTGCTCTTAAAAAAGCCTTATCTACCACTCCAGTGCTAGCTTTGCCTGATTTTACCAAGGAATTTGTTGTAGAATGCGACGCTTCAAATGGGGGATTAGGGACTGTGCTCTCTCAAGGAAACCACCCACTTGCCTTCTTCAGTAAATCACTCTCAGACAAGAACTCAGCCTTATCTACCTACGATAAAGAGATGTTAGCTGTGGTAAGTGCAGTGCAATATTGGCGACCTTATCTAATTGGGAGGCCTTTCACCATTATCACAGATCACCGCACCATCCAATATTTCTTGGACCAGTGAATTACTACACCAAGCCAACAGAAATGGCTACTTAAATTGTTGGGGTATAATTATAAGTTGCAGTTTCGGGCAGGAGCACAAAACATTGTTCCTGACACTCTCTCTAGACGGCATGAACTTCTTGCTATCATGGGTCTGACCAGCCTTATATTTGATGGGATAAAGGAGATACAAACAGATTGCAAAGCTGATCCTAAGACTTCTGCTATCATTCAAACAATTATCAACAATAGCAACACAAGAAAAGCATACACCATGAAGGATGGATCTCTCTATTACAAGGATCGTTTATTCATTCCTTCTACCTCTCCTTGGAGAGCTAAGGTGCTGGATACATTCCATAGTTCTCCTGAGGCGGGTCACTCTGGCTTCCTTAGAACCTACAAATGTATCAGCAGAAATTTCAGGTGGCATGGATTAAAAGGGGAAGTCAAACGCTTTGTGGCCACATGCGACACTTGTCAACGACAATCATACGAAGCCATTCGTCCACTTGGCTTACTTCAGCCACTTCCCATTCCCTTAGGCCCATGGCAAGACTTGGCAATGGATTTCGTGGAAGGGTTACCCTCTTCTAAAGGCAAAAATTGTATCTTAGTTGTGGTGGATAGGTTGACCAAGTTTGCGCACTTTATTCCTGTTTCTCATCCATACACTGCCTCTCAAATTGCAGAATTATTCATCAGAGAAATTGTGCGACTTCATGGTATGCCAAAATCCATTGTTAGTGATCGTGATCCCACTTTCACCAGTCAATTTTGGGAGACTTTTTCAAATTACAGGGAACCCGTCTCTTCCGTAGCACAGGCTACCACCCTCAAACCGATGGCCAATCGGAGGTACTGAATAGGACTCTTGAGCATTACTTACGTTGCTACATTGGTGACAAGCCAACTTCTTGGACTTCATGGCTACCTTGGGCTGAGTGGTGGTACAACACCACCTTTCACTCAGCCATCCGTATGTCTCCTTTCCAGGCTCTTTATGGATATGAACCCCCCACAATTGAAACATATGTCCCAGGTTCTTTTGTTGTTCATCAGGTGGACATCACCCTTCAGGACCGTGATGCCTTACTTAGGCGATTACGCCATAATCTCCAGCTTGCACAACAACGAATGACATTATATGCCAATTCCAAACGCACTGAACGCGAATTCCAGGTGGGTGACTGGGTTTTCTTGCGTCTACAACCTTATCGACAGTCCTCCCTCTGCCATTCCTATTGTCCCAAGTTGTCCCCTTGGTATTACGGCCCCTACAAGATTTTGGCAAAGATTGGCAAGGTTGCATACAAGCTGGCTCTTCCCCCAAACTCCCGCATACATTCCACCTTTCATGTGTCACAATTGAAAAAAAAGGTCGGGGATAAGGTCACCACCACCACATCTCTGCCTCCTATGTTCTCTGATGGTGTCGTTCAATTGATTCCAGAAGCGATTCTGAGCAGGGGCCTTGTTAAGCGACACAACCAACCTGTGACACGTTGGTTAATCAAGTGGGCTGGTCTTCCGCAAGAGGATGCTACATGGGAAGATGCCACCACTGTCCAGGCTCAGTTTCCAGATTTCCCAGCCTGAGGACAGGCTTTATTTTGGGACGGGTGGAGTTGATGAACCCCATTTTCCCATTATCAACTATTTCTTTATCTTTTACTTTCACCTAGCTATTTACCACTAGCTGTAACTCGTTATTTACTTTTATGTTGCTAAACTAAGAGACATCTTGGAAGCTGTATTTAAGCGTTGGCTGGCCCTATTTTGGGATTATGAATGAATTGAGTTTATTTTCCATTTTCCATTTGCTTTCTTTTCCCTTTTGAGATAACGAACCCATCAACTGGTATCAGAGCCAGGTTGCAAATGGGAAACCTATCCTTGACTGTTACTTGGTTGAGAGCCCTGTAATCCACACAAAATCGCCAAGAATCATCTTTCTTTGTTACCAAAATTACTGGTGAAGAGTAAGGACTTGAACTCTTTCTTATGACTCATGTGGACAACATCTCAGCCACTTGTCTTTCAATTTCAGCCTTCTGAATGTGGGGGTACCGATATGGTCTTACATTAACCGAACTAGTGCCTGGGAGCAAAGGAATTCGATCACGGTATCGAGAGCCTCGGTCGATCGCTGTGCCTCTTGACGTGATTTCTTGCTTGCTTTGCTCGTCGTTCTCAAGTCTCTGATTCTTTCTCTCAAATCTTGGTTCACTGTTTATCTTCAAGAATGGTGATTCTGTCTCCTTGACGTGATTTTTCAGAATTTGGTGAAATTGATATGGAATTTGTTGCTTCTTCTTCAATTTCTCTTGATTATTGGTGATTGATATCTGGCACGAAGCCGTATTGAGATTAATTTTGTTGATTTCATGGCACGAAGCCTTCTTTCTCTGGAATTTATGTGATTTGTTGGCACGAAGCCTTGTGTGAAGCATTCTTGTTTAGGCACGAAGCCTTGTAGTGATTTCTTGCATCGATTCTGTTTGCTTTTGTCACGCTGTGTTTTTCTGTGTGTAATTCTTTGACTCTGGTCATGACGGTGATTTCGCCCAAAATTGAGGGTTTGCTGGGGATGCTTACCATTCGTTTGAATGATGATAATTTTGTCAAGTGGTCCTTTCAATTTCAATCCGTTTTGCAAGGTTATGATCTTTTTGACCACTTTGATGGCTCCTCAGTTTGTCCACTGAAGTTTGTTATAGATACTGAGCTTGGTGTCACTACTGAGGTCACTAATGCTTATAAGAGTTGGACTCAGACTGATAAGGCTCTCTTGAGTCTCTTAATTGCTACCTTATCTGATGATGCGATTGAGTATGTCATTGGTAGTAGGACCTCTGCTAAGGCTTGGACTCGTTTGCAAGATAGATATGCCACAGTGTCTAGGGCACGTGTTAATCATCTTAAAACTGAGTTTCATACTGTGCACAAATGTGCTGATTCTATTGAAAAGTATTTGCTTCGGATTAAGACAGCTCGTGACCAGTTAGTTGCGGTTGGTGAACGTATTACTGATGATGATGTGGTTATCACTGCTCTTAATGGTCTTCCTCAAGACTATGACATGATTCATACTGTGTTGCTTGCTCGTGATTCAACCATTGGTCTCAAAGATCTTCGAGCTCAGTTGCTTAATGCAGAGAGACAAGCTGAAATTCGTATGCATGCTCTTTCTCATTCTATGAATGCTATGATGGCTACGCGTGCTTCTTCTTAGCCTACTTCTAGTGGTTATAATTCTGGTGGTGCAAAACATTTTTCTCAAGGTTCCAGCTCAACTCAAGGTTCTAGCTCAAGACCTTATAATGGTTACAATGGTTCCCAGTTTCGATCTTCTCCTCAGTCTGACAGATTCAGGTCATCTGGATATCATGGTTCTCGATTTTATTCTGACAAGCATGGTTCTAACTCTTCTGGTTTCAAGCAACACTGGGGTCCATCTTCTGGTTTTAAGTCTCATGTTATCCCAGAATGTCAAATCTGTAGTAAGAGGGGTCACACTGCTGCCAATTGTTTTTATTGCAATACTGCTGATTCAAACTCTTCTCCTGTTATTCAGTGTCAGATTTGTGATAAAAAAGGTCACGGTGCTCTTGATTGCTACCATCGAGCTAATTTTGCTTTTCAAGGACAACCACCACTAGCTTCTATCCAAGCTATGACTGCTCACGCACAAGGGTTTGAGTCTCAAGACAATTGGATTGCTGACACAGGAGCAACTCATCACATGATACCAAATTTATCTGTGCTTGAGAATGCTACTCCATATGATCAAGATGACAAGATAATTGTTGGCAATGGGGAAGGTTTGCCTGTTCAACATATTGGTCATGCTAATCTTCCTATCACTTCTTCTCAGTCCTTATTATTACCTAATGTTTTGCATGTTCCACATTTATCAGCTGATTTGCTTTCTGTCTACAAGCTTTGTCATGATAATAACTGCATGGTTACTTTTGATGATGCTGGTTATTGTGTGCAGGACAAGGCAACAAGGGCAGTTCTTCTCAAAGGAATGAGTAGCAAAGGCCTTTATCATTTTCCTAAATCTCTACCATTCACCTCTGTTTCTTCACCCACAGCTTTTCTTGGTCAGAAAATAAACTATATCATGTGGCATCAACGCTTAGGCCACCCTACTAATGAAGTCCTTGTGAAAATGTTGCACTCTTCTCGAATAGTATGTTCTCCCGATTCTTCATCTATGTGCTCAACTTGCTTAGGTGGTAAAATGTCTAGGCTTCCTTTTCCTGTAAGTTCTTACAGAGTAGTCCATCATTTTCATAAATTTCATAGTGATATTTGGGGTCCATCTCCAGTTGTATCCATTGAGGGTTATAGATATTTTGTACTGTTTGTTGAAGACTATACCAGATTTATCTGGATGTTTCCTCTTATCAATAAATCAGACGTTTACTCGACTTTTGTCAAGTTTCATGCCTTCATTTCTACCCAATTTTCTGCTTTTATTAAGATATTGCAAACTGATGGGGGAGGAGAATATCAGAGTCATTTGTTTAAACAGTTTTTGACATCTAAAGGAATATTGCATCAGGTGTCTTGTCCTTACATTCCCCAACAAAATGGGTTAGTGGAAAGGAAAATAGGCATATAATTGAGACTGCTGTTACTTTGATGACTGCAGCAGCTTTACCTATTAAGTTTTGGTCACATGCCTGTCTGCATGCTAGTTTTTTGATCAATCGAATGCCTTCTAAGACTTTGGGATTTTGTTCACCTTATCAAAAATTGTTTCAGACACCACCTGAGTTACAGTCCCTATTAGTTTTTGGGTCTGCTATGTTTCCATATCTTAGACCTTATAATGATAACAAGTTGCAGCCTAGAACTTGTCAGTGCATCTTTCTTGGATATGCTAATGGTTATAAGGGAGTTATCTGCTATAACAGAGATTCAGGGAGATTATTTTTGTCTAGGCATGTTGTTCATGATGAGACTGTGTTTCCTTTTAAGCTAATGCACTCAACTCATCCCTCAAGTTCTTCTCCCATGCTTCTTCCAGTAGTTTTACCTGTAGCTCCTGCCCCAACCACAGATTCTGATAATATCCCACCTCAATCATCCATACCACCATCCTTACATTTTTCTCTGCAGGATTCTACTTCATTTGCTACTCCTCCTCGCCCTTTCACTATGTTGCCTGTCCTTACAGATGCACAATTACAAGTGATACTCCCTATGCGTTCTTCCTCTCATACTGATAACGGTCATCTACAACATGCTTCTCCCTCTACTTCTGTAACCTCTCAGTCAGGTTTGGTTCAGAGTGTTCATCCTATGACAACTAGACTCAAGGATGGTACAATATCTAGAAAACATTACTCTAATGTTGCTCATTACACACAGTCCGTTGATCACTCCTTCTCTGGTGTTACTTGTATTGCTCATATTACAGATACTAGTGAACCTTCTCATTTTAGATTGGCTGCTTCTCAACCTCATTGGCAGCAAGCTATGCAAGAGGAATTTGATGCTCTTACAGTTCAAGGCACCTGGGTTTTAGTGCCTCCTCCACCAAACAGAAATATTGTTGGTAGTAAGTGGATTTACAAAGTCAAGAAAAATCCAGATGGGTATGTGTCAAGATATAAAGCACGGTTGGTTGCTCAGGGTTTTAGTCAGGAATAAGGGTTGGATTACGATGAGACTTTCAGCCCTGTGGTTCGCCATACCACAGTCAGATTGGTGTTAGCTCTTGCTGCAGCAAATCATTGGGAGTTGCGTCAATTAGACGTCAAAATTGCTTTTTTACACGGTGATCTTCAAGAAGAAGTATATATGAAGCAGCCTTAAGGCTTTGAAGATGCTATACATCCTTCTCATGTCTGCAAGTTACTCAAGTTCTTGTATGGTCTTAAACAAGCTCCTCGAGCTTGGAATGCTAAGTTCACCAGTTATCTTCCTACTTTGGGTTTCACTCTATCTCATTCTGATCCAAGTCTATTTGTTAAGCATACTGGCACTGACATAGTTCTTCTCCTTCTTTATGTGGATGACATTATCGTCACTGGTTCCTCCTCTACATTAGTTCAATCTATTATTACATATCTGGGTGAAGCTTTTGATATGAAAGACATGGGCAAACTTACTTATTTTCTTGGATTGGAGATTTCATATATTTCAAATGGTGATATTTTTGTCAACCAGGCTAAATATCTTCAAGATCTTCTCAAGAAGGCAGCCATGGTTGAGTGTAAACCATGTTCAACACCAGCTAAACCTCATCAGCAGTTTCTTAAGGATGAAGGTGTTTCTCTCCAAGATCCTACCATTTATCGAAGTCTCATGGGGGCTCTTCAGTATCTCACTTTCACTAGGCCTGATATCGCCTATGCTGTCAATTCTGTATGCCAGTTTATGACAGCTCCTACAGATATTCATTTTGGTGCAGTCAAACGTATTCTCCGATATCTCAAGGGTACCTCTCATTATGGTATCACTTACACTTCAAGTGATATGCAACTGCTGGTCTATAGTGATTCAGATTGGGGAGGAGATCCTAATACCAGGCGCTCAACCACTGGTTATGTGGTTTATCTTGGGAACAATCCCATCTCATGGCAATCTAAAAAGCAAACTTCTGTTTCAAGAAGTTCTACAGAAGCCGAGTATAAGGCTTTAGCTCATTCTACCTCTGAGGTTTCGTGGATACGACAGATTCCTAAGGATATGAATTTCTTTCTTGCAGCCCCTCCTCTCTTGCATTGTGATAATTTGTCTGCTCTTGCCTTAAGTTCAAATCCTGTTTTTCATTCCAGGATCAAACATTTAGACACCGATTTTCATTTTGTTCGTGAAAGGGTTCAGCGCGGGGACATTCATGTTCAATATGTGCCTACACAAGAACAGGTGGCTGATGTGCTCACCAAGGGGCTTCACAGTCCAGCCTTTTTGCAACACTGCTCCAATCTAAAGCTAGGCCCGCCAGCTTAGCTTGAGGGGGGATGTTAGAGTTATATTTAGTTTAGCAAAGTAGTCTGAAGCTGGTGTGCCAGCTGTCAATTAGTTAAGTGAGCTTGTTATTAGCTTAGAGCTTAAGTCTTTGACAGCTCATGTATTCTGCAAAACCCAAAACTCTATAAATGTTGAGTCAGCTAATATTGTATGGAATAATAGAGAGAATCAGTGAAAAGAATTCCAGAACCTTTTTTTAGTTTTCTTCTTCGTTTCCTCTGTTCATACTTGACTGGTTATCAAGATTCACGTAGCTTGTCATACAATTAATGTATATATATATATATATTATCAATTATATAGTTTTAAAAACTAATAATTATAAATATTTAATTTTATGAAATATTAATATACATATTTAAAAATATGGGGTTTCACAATAGTATAGCCGCACGGCTATACGTAATTCGACATGTGGCACCTTATCGCTAGACATCTTTTTTTATATAAATAATATAAATAGTATTGCCGGGCAGCTATATGTGGTTTTTTCTAGGGAATTTCACTAAAACACCCAAAATGGGAGTTGAAATTATAAAAAAAACCCAAGTACTATTTAAACATATAAACACACCCAAAACCCATCATTACACACACTTAAAACTCATTTATAAACACACCCAAAAGTTGACTTTGGGGATAATTTTGGATGTGTTTCTATGTTTAAATAGTGCTTGGGTTTTTTTATAAATACATGTCTAGGATTGGGTTTATTTATAAATTTGTATTTTTTCTATTCGTTTAAAAAATCGTATAGCCGCGTGGCTATACTTATTTTGACACACGGCACATATTCGCTAGGCGGTTCCCTTTATATATATATACTAGCCTCTCTGCACGGGCATCCGCGCCTGCAAGAGGCTTTTTTTTAAAAAAATTGAAATTTATTTTAGAATTTAAAAAAAATAATGGGTAGTTGTGTTCCATAAAAATAGGATCCATTATCTGTTTTTTCTTTTAATTTTAATTTTTTTAAATATAAAAAGTGAGAATTTACCATATTATCCTCATTTGATTAATAATTTCCATTCTTAATGTTTGCATTAATCAAGGGCATTTTATGGTATTTAGAATGTTTCACCATTCTCTGCCTTTTGCCATATATATATATATATATAAATAGTGTAGCCGTGCGGTTGATGATCTTGAGAAGCTCGTTGATCTTCTCAAGCATTTCAAGCTTTGCAATCAACGTCTCAACTTCTCAAGCGTGTCCCGAGAGCGTCCAAAAACAGTCAGTGAACCAAGCGGGATGGATGTTCCACATTTGGTCCAACTCGGATCGGATGTGTCCAAGACAATTTCTTTCACTCCCTTACGGTAGATGGAGAGGAATAACCTAGAGATTTACACGAAATACTCCAAACTTGTCAAGACCACATTGACCTTGGACAGTTTTGTAAGTAAATCCTTTGGGTTGTTCGCCACCACCTGTCGATGGGCTTAAGGACGTACCCAAAACCTTGCGCAACCCTTTTGTTGGGTTTCAAGCTAAAGCTAAACCCTTACGAATTCTTATGTTGAGTTCTTTTTTTATGTTAGCAATGAGAAACCCACCTCTTTTATGAGTCTATATACGAAACTTTTCCTTACAATTCTAATTACACTCTTCTGTTTTGAAAATTTGAATTTAGACCCTTCAAATATAATATCAAAACCCAATTTCCTATTTCTTTTTTATTGATACCTTTTATTTATTTGTTCTGATTTTCATGGTTTTTTTTTCCTTTCTATCCTTTACAAGTGTTTTAGAGGTTAGTAGTGAAAAAACCACCTCTTTTATTACTTTCACTGCCCTATTTTTATTCTTGAATTCAAACTTTTCAATTATCCAAACCCCTCTCTGTAGTTCCATACTTCATGCAAGAACCATCCCTTAAAGATAACAACTCATGGACAGAACTTGAAGAGACGATTTTGATGAAAAGAGTTCCCAAGTACGGCTTCAAAAAATGGCTAGGAGTGAAAAGGATTTTGGGGATTAGGCTGCAGCCATGCAAAGACCGATGGGTTAGGTGAACGGACCCCAACATACTACTGGTGATGTTTTATTAAATCTTTCTACATCTGTTTGGTGATGGTGTTTCCTTTTTCAGACTTGTGAGAAGCTTGTCGATCTTGTCAAGCTTTTCAAGCTTTTCAACCAACTTCTCAAGTGTGTACCTAGAGCGTCCAAAAATAAAAAGTGATTGGCGATCTATTTTGGTGAAGCCAGTAGGATGGAGGTTCCACATTTGGTCCTCCAGTTCGGATGTGGCTGAGACAGTCTCTTCCACTCCTCTACGGTAATGGAGCGGAACAACCTAGAGGTTTACACGAAATACTCCAAACTTGCGAAGTCGGACAGTTTCGTAAGTAAATCCTTCGGGTTGTTCGCTACCACGTGTCGATGGTCTTAAGGACGCAGCCAAACCCTCATGCAACCCTTTTTCTGGATTTCTAACTAAAGCGAGGAGGTGGAAGGTTGATGTAGGACCTTTTGAGCTCATTATTGGAAAAATAGAGTGGAGATGGATGAAAGAGAAAGGTGGAGAGATAAAAGAAGGAGAACGAAAATGCGATAAACTGGTATTCGATTTGATGTATGAATAGAGAGGAAGTTGGAGAGGGAGAGGGAGAGGGAGAGAGAGGGAAATTGTTTGATGTGCTAAGTGCTAAAAAAGACCGGGTCTAAAGCTTTTCGCTTCAAGTAAGGAGATTTACACTCTGTGATTTAGCTCAACCAATTAAAGCTTTCTCAACTACCCCCCCGGCGCCACACCCACCCATCGATAGCCATTGCTGCCCCAACGCACCCATTCCACCCACCACAAATGACCTTACTGCCCCAAACGCCAGTAGCCAAGCCACACTTAAACCCCAAAACTTTAAAAAAAAACCCAGATCTGGATTTGGTTGTTGAAGAAAAAGAGAAAAAGAGGGAGAGAGAAGGAGGAGGGGTGGGCTTGGTTGTTGTTAAAGAAAGAGGGGAAAGAGAGAGACAGACAGAGACAAAGACAGAAAAAGGGGGGTAGGTGGGGAGAGGAGACAGAGGGTGGCTGGGGTTTGGGATAATTTGTTTTTGGTTTAAAAAATTATTATTAAAGAATTCTTAATAATTTGGGCGGAAAAAAAAAAAAAAAAAAAAAAAAAAAAAAAAAAAAAAAAAAAAATTAATACACACACAAACTGGGTATCTCACTTGCCACGTCACTAAAGATAAAATAAGAAGAGAAAGGTTTAAATATAAAAAAATTGATTAAAAAATATTAAAAACTCCAAACACCTTTTTTTTCGTGATGATAAACTAACATGAGGAATGGGGCAAATGCGAGGCGTAAAGGACATCAAGTGTTCCTCCAACGTATTTTCATTTGAAACTCCAACATCCTCTCCTCTCGAAAGGAACAATCTAGATGGCTTGTTTACTAATCCGTAATTGGATTAGGAGGAATTGAATTGAGGAGGAGTTGGATTAAGGAGAATTAGATTCCGGATTGCTATTGAAGTTGTTTACTAAACCATATGAAATTGGGGTATGAATGGTACTAATTACTAAAATGTCCTCGTTATTGGGTTAAAGTAGATGACAAATTTGAAATTTTGAAAATTGTGTGAGGATATAATGGGTTAAAAAAATGAATTCCTAATGGATTAGTTCTCCAGGAATTAGAATACCACCTCCCACCCAATAATTGAATTCCTCCAACTTCAGGAATTTAATTCCTAATTTTGTTTGGGCCCCACTTACTTTTCAATTATTTAATATGAAGTAAACGCATGAATCCTCCATAAGTGGAATTTAATTCCTGATGAGAATTCCAATTCCTGATTAATAAACACACCATGAATTCACACAATGTGATCCAAATGTGGTCCACAAAATTTGGCCTCTCTAGTGTTATTCCAATGGAAATTATTCATCTTTTAGGCTCTCCTTTAAAGATTTTTTTTTTCTTCAACCAAACTCCTTTAAAGATCGCCTTAACAAAAAACTATGAAAATTGTAGATGGACTAACTATTTGGTTGTTATCATAAATTTTATTTTGATACAAGCAATTATTTATTAGATTATATATATATATTTTTTAAATTCAAGCGATACTTTAAACTACAAAGGAAATAGGGTTTCTCACACGCACACACACTACCAAGGTGCTATAGGGGTTCGAACATGAGACCATTGTTTTGCAAGTCAAAGCTCTTTCCTACTGGGCTAGACTCCTGTTAGATTTCAAGTTATGACACATTTATTTACAACTACTGGAAATAAGAAAAGAGAAAACGAAATGACTTCCATGAGTGACTTTCCCTATGTTTTTTTTTTTTGTAGTTATACAAGGGATAATCTTTTCTAATCTAATATAAGGATATGGATCATCTGCTTGGATTTTATCTGCCGTAATATGTTTATTTCTCTCCTGTATACGCCATCTCATTAAAATTTAATCCAAGGAATTTTAAGTTGATACATCATCTTTAAAACAAACCCAATTTCCTTATAATTAAAAAAATTAAAAAACTCCCCTGATTGAAGTAATGTGAAACTTAACCCCTAACCTAACGCGAACCTCTATTTTTTGTTAAAAAAACGTGAAACTTAATCAGCTGCAATCATTTTCTTTTTTCTCTTCCAATCTCTGCACCGTCTTCCCCAAGGATCCCGAGTCTTCGTTTTTTCCTACTTTTTTCCTCTGCAACACGTCCTTCCAATCAGTGGCGGATCCAGGATTCTGTGCCCAAGGGGGCTTAGTGTAAAAGTTCCGAAATTTTTTTACAAAGAAAATAATGCTAAAAAAGCCTATTAATCCGTCATTCGAAATTTTTCCTCTACCTTAGTAGCTATACTATATTCCAACCAATCATACTCATCAAACCATTGAGCAATGAAACGTCTATTAAATCCTGATTGATTAGTTTGTGGAAATTTATAACTTCTAGGTTGACAAGGTCCCTTTTGTAGATATGTTCTTCGGATCTCATCCCGAATATTAGGACTATAATCCGTCATTCGAGGTCTTAGTCCAGGGTTTGCCTAAAGATTAGCTAATATCTCATCTGCTTCAATTGGTCTTGTTGCATTTGAACTACCTGGATTAGACGAAGAAGGACTATCCGTAGATAATTTTCTTTTATAGAATCATTCCATAATTCTACAAATCAATTAATTGAATCAATCATTAATTTTTATCCAAATTATCATATGAATATGAAAATGTCAATAATCTACTCTCAATATTCACCCATATCAATCAATATTCAATATACCAAATTATTATATCAAATATCATTCAATATTTAATATACTCAATCAACAATCAAGCATAAACGCAATCAATCTAAATTATCCATCAATATGATTCATATCCATAGATTTCATTAAAACAAAAAAAAAAAAAAAAAAAAATCAATATCAATATATTATCACTATAAATTTATTAATTTAAATTTTGACATGCTTACTTGTACTTGAAAAAAAAGGGCGGCACAAGATGGTGGTGGTGATCGCCAATGGGCCACCGGTGAAGAGTTGATGGAGGTTGTCGGAGGTTAGGAGGTTGGGAGAGGTTAGGATTTGAGAGGGAAGCATTGGGGGACCCAGAAATTTTTTAGCGGAGGTGCAATATTGACTAAGTATGAAAAATGGTTTTTCGGAATAATCATTTTCTCAAGATAATTTTTGGCGGCTTTTATTCGTTACACATCAAATAAGAAAACTTGATTTTATGGGATTTTAATATGAAGTATATATTGACTTAATGAGCCATCATTTTTAGCATAAATCGTATTTTTCACTAAAACCGAATTTTCGTATTTTGATTTGGTGCGAATTTGATTTTCTAGTATTTTTATTTGAAACCAAATGGGGGGTACTTCCTTATTTACATTGTAAACTTAAGTAAATGGAGTAATATAAAAATAAATAAAGGTAATTTGTACAACAGTTGAGCTCCTGTGTTCTGTTCAGGGTTTTTTTTAATAAAAAAATAAAAATAAAAAAATAAAAAAACCTGGCCCAAAACGACGTCGTTTTGAGGCCAGGTCATTTAAAAAAAATTGACTGAGCCTTGGACCAAACGACGTCGTTTGGCAAGGCTGTTTTGAAAAAAAAACACATGCGGGCAAGGCGCAGTGCAGCTGCGCAGCAAGCTTCTCCTCCTCCTGGGACTTTCGTCGAGCAGTTGGTGTGCATCCAAGGGGGCTTCAATGGAGTCCCTTGCCAGCTTTCCAGCCTTCCAAGGGGTCGTCCGACCCCTCTTGTCCCAACGTGGATCCGCCACTGCTTCCAATCAGCTTAGTCTTCTTTATTTCTCTGCAACTACTCTACCTTATCGTTTAGTTTTTCTTTTCTTCCTTTCTCTACAACATCGCTCCCCAAAATCATACTCTTGCCCCTTCAATCCTAAAATTCCCTCTTTCTCAACGAAAACTAGTAATGGTTTAGAGAGACATAACGTCCTTTTATTATTGTCCAGTACATTTTGTTTGTTATGTATTGGGTGATGAGTTATAAAAAAAGTTACATTTTTTTTTTTTTTTTTTTTTTTTTTGTTGTTTTTATGAAATTTTAATTCTACTTTTTAATTCTATTCTATTCTTCTTCTCTAAAAGTGATGTTTTTTTTTTGCCGCTGCATTCCTTTAAATACTTCTTTCTTTTTACGATGGGAGGTTATAAATGGTTTGTTTGCTCTAAGAACCCTGTTGGGTAGGGGTGGGCACGGTTCGGTTTGAATTGGTTTTTGCCTTAAATTGGAATCGAATTCCATACTATTTATCCAGTTTGGTTTGGTTTGATTAGGTTTTAACAAAAAAAATTATAAAATTGTTCAGTTCAGGTTGAATCAATTTTGGTCCGAATTTCGGTCTGGTTCGGTTTTGAACCGGATTATTATTATTATATTTACAAATTTTTTTTATACAAATTTCAACTTCAAATTTATTCTTTTTGGCTTGAAAATTAACAAATTATTCAATTTCATACAAAAAAGAAATATTAAGGCTAGAAAAGAGAGATGTTTTGAAATTGAACTTGGGTAAATATTAGTTATGAGAACCGGTTCAGTTTGTTGGGAGTATAGAACCAAAACGGGAACCAGTTAGAACTGGTTCGGTTCGATTTTTTGGATCGGGTTTGACTTTTTGGTCAACACATGTTGTTTTAGGCTTTTTCAAGTTCGGTTTGGTTCAGTTGATTGGTTCTTCGGTTTCGATGCCCACCCTTATCGTTGGGTTTGATATTTTAGACTTTGTTCTTACTCTGTCTCTTCTCCTTTTTTAGGTTTTGTGAAAATCAACTTTATGACGACAAAAAAGAAAAAGTTTAACGGTGTTAAGTTTCTTGTTAGTTCAATTAGGGTTGTTTTTTTTTCTTTTCTAATTATGAGAAAATTGGGTTTATATTCTAAAGATGATGTCTCCGTTAAAGTCCTTTGTATTAAATTTTAATGAGGTGGCGTATACAGGAGAGAAGTCAAGCAGATTATGGCAGATAAAATCTAAGTAGAGGATTCAGATCCCTAATCTAAACTACAGCGAGGGGAATTTGAACTCAAGTGTAGAGTGGGAAGCACAACTTGGCTCCTAAGGATTAAAGATGCGCTCCTCCTTAAAACCGTGGTTTTGACACTTGTCAAATTCCAACAATATTTACAAAGTTTCAACAAAATAGAAAAAGAAATATTAAAACAATTTGGCATGTATCAAAACCACATTGGTTGTGAGGGGGAATTCCTCCTCAATTTGAAGGAGCCAAGCTTTTTTCAATATGTAATAAAAAACCTCAAAATTAAGAATCATATTAACTAAGAGCATTTACAATGAGCTCCTAAACCACATTCTTAGACATATTTTAGGAAGGAATTGGAAAAATACAACTCCAATAATACTCTCTATCTACCTCCTAAAATAGGGAGACCTCTCAGAACTCTTTTTTATTTAATGAGTATTTCAAACCTTTAATTAATACTAACTATTTTTTATATATATTTTTTAATAGAGATGGACCCATTAAAAAAGAGTTATAGCACAAGAATAGAACCAATTTAATAAAATAATTGAAAAAATCAGATTTAATAAAATAATTACAATTTAAAGTACAAGAATATAACCAATTTTAAAATTGAAAAAAATTGAAAAAATGAATTACTGAAACTGAATCCCACAGCCGCCAAAGACAACCCCACCCCACGCCACGCCACCGCCCTCCTCCTGGTCTCTTATCCCGCCACCCAACCTTCCACCATCTGTCTCTTCTCTCGGCTCCCACACCTCCTCCTTCTCTCTCCCGTTTTCTGTCTCTTCGATAACCACCCCTCAGTGTAGAAAGCTTCGTGTGTTTGCGTCTCAGTTGTTTCAGTGCATTTTCCAGTACAACCATGGCTTCTTTCAGCTCTACCCGACGCGAAGAAGATTCGGTAAACAAATTTTCTAAATTCCATACCCTCTACAATACATATGTGCGTATATTTTCTCTGTTTCATTTCTCAGAAAGGAATTTTTTTCTTCGAAAAATTAGGAATGAAACATTGAGCTTCATGTTCCGCGTCCTTTTGCTCTTGAAATTCATTTTCTTTCATCGCTTCAGTATGTCTAATGTTTAAATTCCAAATTTTAGTTGGTTTTTTTGTATTGGGTAATTGTTGTTGTCGGAGAATTGGATTATATTATATTTCTTTGTACCATTCCCTCTTTCTGATTGCTACTTATTTTGAGTATTTGTGATCGTTTAGTACGTTTTGTTGCAGTTTTTGACATTTTCCATCAGGCGCTTCACTAAACTAGCGTGTTTGTTATTGAACCTTATGTTTTGTTCTTTTTATCTGATAGGTTCTGGTACAACAAAATTTGTTTGTGAGGACATTGACATTGAACAGGCCACGGCAATTGAACGCGCTTAACTTTGAAATGGTATCGTCCTATGGTGATGTACTTTACCACTTTAGTTTCTTGAATACAGAGGTTATATACCTTAAATGCCATGTAATTAACTAACTTATGTTATTTTGATTTCTTTTTTCTTGGCTGAGGATAGTCTATTTTCATTTATGTTCATGTTTTCTTCTTGTATCTATTCTCTGTGCTTCATATTTTGCGTTCCTTATCAATTTGGTTCATATCTTAACTTTCTTGAACTAAAGTTTGTGGATTAAGTTATACATTTCAAGGATAAGCTTCATTTTTCAAGTGAAGCAGTCACTGGCGTTCGCTCGTTTCCGTTCTGAACTCACATTTACTCTCTATCACTTCCTTGATATTATTGTCCCATTACTTTTTGTCTTCTTATTGAGGTATCTGGAGAATCCTTAACTTACACTAGATAGTTAAGAAATTTACAAAATCATCACACTGAAAAATTCCTGTTTTGCTCATTGAAATACTCTCCTGTTCCTTCCTTTCCAAACTGTCTAGAACATACGTGTCCGGACGGAATTCCATATAGGCTTTGTAGAGGTTTTCCCGAACTCTTGTAGCATTTTAATTTGGATGTTATACTGTATTATGTGCTGTTTATAGAGCGAGATGAATGGTAGGACTTTTAAGGGTCCAGAGACTACCGCCAGTCCAGTGGTTGAAGTTTATTGTCCTTGTATCTCTTTATCAGTGGGCATTGATTTGTCCACCTGTTATGTGCTCTTCTATTGAAGAGTTTCTGAGTTCTTAAGATTTTACTTGCTAGTTTTAGGTAAACTCCTTTTGGAAAAATTTGCATTGTACTATTGTCCTCAGTAAATGTGCTCTGTGGTACTCATAGTCCTTAGTTGTTTTAATTTCCTGTTTCTTTCATTTGTAGATTTCTCGTCTGTTGGAACTTTTTCTGGCTTATGAGAAGGATGATAATGTCAAGCTGGTGATTGTCAAGGTACTTTTCTTCCACATGCAAGTTTTCATGTATAATATTTAAACTGTTTCAAAGAGAAACAAGAAAGAAGTCAAGTAATATCGTCTTACTATGAAGCTAATAGACATATAAAGTTGATCTTTCCTGTGGAGTGTTTGATGTTTGTTAATGTTGAAGCATCTAATCATCTCTCTTTTTGACAGACCTGTGTTCTGTGCTTACATTTACTTTTAGCTACATGTTAAGCTCTTTTTCTTGAGTTTTCTTTAAAATTATGAGCATCAAAGTCTTTTGCTTGATGCGGTGAATGTAGAATCCTATGAAGATATAAAGTCAATTTAAGATTCTATTGGGTTTCTTTTCGAAGATAAAGGTTTCTAAGTTCAAGGTATAATTCACGTTTCATTTGCAGCCACACATAGTTATTCATCGTGATCATTTTCCTGATGAATGGTTGAGAACAAGAGAAATTTTACAGTTTCTTGGCATTAACTAAAACTGGCTTGATGCTTTTTTTGATTTTCGGTGTATGTGCATATCATACCACTTGGGGTATTTGATGTATTGTATATCAATGCTGAAGTATCTATTAATCCTTCTTTTTGAGAGACCTGTGTTGATTGTTATCTACCACCTTTTCGATCTTCTCTTACCTGTGGGCCTTCTTTCCCTAATTCTTTCCACTCTACTGACGAATCATCTTCAATAATTTAAAAATATGAGCATCAAAGTTCTTGGCTTCTTGTGGTAAAAATCGACAATCCTCTGAAGCTGTAAGGTCTACTTCCTAGTGGGTTCTCGAAGACAAAGGTTTTTAAACTTAACGGGAATGCCCATTCATACCACTTCCCCACATAATAATTCATCTTGATCATTCCTTGTGATCGAACAGTTCCTTGGCATTAACCAAAACTGGCTTGATATCTTTTTCTATTTTTCTTTTATTCACTTTTATTTTCTTTGGTTTCATTTTTTTCTTTGCTTAAATATTGCAGCATCTGAAATGTTACTCACGAAAGACAAAGCCCGACACTATTATCATAAGTAAGCACTAACCATGTAGTAAATCCAAAAGACCGAAGTTGAGGAACTCAATTGACACTGAGTTCAAAGTTCAGGGCTGGTTTCTTGACAAACCCAAAGTTCTGTTTCTGATAACTTAGGAATTGTATTACCTTTGTTAGGTTGGTTAAATTTACATAAGGTTGTGGGCACATTTGTGCCAAGCCCTGAGCCTGATGTATTTGTGACACGGCATTTGACTATGGGGTTTTCTGTGGATCATTTCCAACCGAGGATCTGAACTCTTTTGTGATATCGTGAGTCACGAGATTGTGAATTGAATGAAAACATATTTTACTTTGATGTATTATGTATTGGGAGATAGAGGCTGCTTTTATGAACTAGAGCTTTAATGTTCATACTCCTGTTTCAGCTATACAGTGAAAGTAAAATATTGTGACAGGTCATCTGTTTTTATGTTTTTAGGGGAAAGGAAGAGCATTTTGTGCAGGTGGTGATGTAGCTGCTGTGGTTCGTCAGATTAATGAAGGCACAACTTCTTTCGTCATCTGTTTTTTTTAAATTTTTTTACTGACCATATTTTCTGATCCTTAACATCAACTGATGAACTATATCCTCAGTTTAGGTGCAAGCATCATCTATCTCTTACGCCTTAAATTTTCAAATAATATCCATTTCCATTTTCTGCATAATTATATTGAACTTTTGAGTATTTATAAATAGGATGCAATAAAAATTACTTCCAATCTAATATTACCGTGTTCGTGGTTTGTATTACTTAGGAAATTGGAGATTAGGTGCACATTTTTTTCAAAAGGAGTTTACCTTAAACTACTTGTTGGCAACATACAGTAAACCTCAGGTGAGCCAGTTCACTTTTAAGTGTAGGTTTCATATTACCTTTTATTATGACTTCTGGTGTCAGAGGTATTCTTGGTCAATTTAGTATTAATTTGAAAAAATAAAAATTCTTACTGTTAGCATGCACATCATTGAAGGTTTCAATTCTGAATGGAATTGTGATGGGAGGTGGGGCTGGTGTTTCAATACACGGAAGATTCCGTGTTGCAACTGAGAATTCGGTATGTCTCACTTTATCTCATGTCTGAAGTTAGGAAGAATTTCGGCTGCATCCTTTGGATTGAACTATTTTGACTTTTACTTTTTCCTGTTATCTAATCTGGAATAATTATTCATACTTATTCTAGCTCACTCACTTGTTCAATGCCTTGCTCTTGCAATAAAAAAATGTGTGCTTATTCAATCTGTTTGTTTTTCTATCTTTCTTTGTGGAAGTTCTGATTCTGAATCCCTTGTATCTCTTATTAATCTTTTGCAGGTTTTTGCAATGCCAGAGACAGCTTTGGGACTCTTTCCCGATGTAGGTGCCTCTTATTATTTGTCCAGACTTCCTGGATTCTTTGGTAATCCCTGCTATATCTTTGGTTTACATATTTGTGTTCTCAAGTAAATCATTTTTTTCCCCTGTACTATCTGTTGTATGATTGGTAAAGGAATATTGAAAAGCCCTGAAAATGAAGCCGCTCCCTAGTGAACTGGAAGTATACAAAAAGTTTATAAAAAAGAATTAATTAAGAGTAAAAGTCTAAGCGTCTTTAAATTTGGAATATATATATATATATATATTTTCCATGTTAGTAAAATCAGACATCTATGATGTTCAATCCTTAATTTTGAGCAGGGAATATTTGAACTTGTAATCTACTGTCTTTTTCTACCTAAGAAAAGTTACAACTAGATGACTCATTATAACATAGTTTTAAAATTTCTATTGAACTTATGATGAATAGATACCTTGTTTATTTAAAGTGTGTTTCTCACAGTATGAAACATAGTTTCTTATCCTTAGAAGCATTGCCACTTATAATTTGAAAAGGTTTTTCTAATTATTAAATATGTTTAAGTTTGTTACCACAAAATCAAATTAAGTTTTAAATCCGAGATAACATCTTGTAGTTATTTTAGTTTTACCTTGGAATTTTTCACTTTGTTTTAATTGTTTCCCTATCTTTCAGGAAGTAGTAAAATTCACCGAATTTTGATGATTATCTTTTCTGTCAAATGTATAATTCTTTGATCTCTTGCTATGTTTAATCACATTAGTGATGCTTCAGTGTTATGATTCTGTCTGATACTGAACTTTTCAGAAAACCTTTTGTCCTTTATTATTGATTGCCCCCACCCCTAATGTGCTGCAGGAGAATATGTTGGTCTTACAGGTACCAGATTGGATGGTGCTGAAATGCTTGCATGTGGTCTTGCTACTCACTTTGTTCCATCAACGGTACGCTACCCATTACTTTTAGTTTTTCTCTATACCAATGATCTTAATTGGAATTTAACAAGAACATGACCTATGCTACCCATTACTTTTAGTTTTTATCTATACCAATGATATTAATTGGAATCTAACAAGAACATGACCTGATTGGTTAAGGAATGATGCTAATTTTTTCAAGTATCAGCATGGTTTTACTTTTGAGACTTGTGCAGGTTATTCTCTAGCTTTTTGTATGTTAAGCTAGTGCAGAATTGCAATATGAGTCACATATTTTGAGTGTCATATGTTTAGTCAATAAATCATTCATTCTTCTTTTGTTTGTTTTAATTTTGTAGCAACCTGTGATTTTCAGATGGTCATTGGGCAATAAACTTCTCCTTACATTTACAACTATTTTACTAAACACTGCTGTTTATTTTTATATAAAATATTGTGTTGAGGAAGTGTGGTTAGATAAGCTGCATAAATCAGGTGAAAAATGGTTGGAAAGAGGGAGAAGAATGGAATTGGTCATGGAAACCAAAATGCTGGATCAAGTAGCCTGGTGCAGTGCTGTTGAAGGTCTAGCAAACTGAAGTCCACAAATATTTTCATATTGCTAAGAAAAATTAACATCAAAGAACAAAAGGAAGTAAATTCGTAGGACCAAGAGGAAAGGAAGGTGATGTACATAGCGTGGTTGGGGTTTCTTATTACTAAGGGAAGAGCCTGCTGCTTTTGGCAGAAAAGTGTGGGTAGGAGAATCCATTGATTTCAAATTTATTTTTAACTTTGTGAAGGTAAAAAGTCCCACATTGGAAAGTTGAGAAACCTAGCAAGGGCTTATAAGGAGTTGGGCTACTCCCCCCATTGCCAATTGGTATTGGGGTGGAACCTCAATTTCCTTAATGGTATTAGAGCGGGTTAGCCCACGTGTGAAAGCCCAACGGCCATACGTGCTCCACATCACCCAATATGTGTTGTCCATGTGTTAGGCTTGAAAATTCGCCACACGAGTGGGGGTGTGTGAGAATGTGAAGGTAAAAAGTCCCACATTGGAAAGTTGAGAAACCTAGCAAGGTCTTATAAGGAGTTGGGCTACTCCCCCCATTGCCAATTGGTTTTGGGGTGGAACCTCAATTTCCTTTATGTTTCCTTATTTAAACATAAAGGAAATTATGGAATTTTTAAAAAATCAATATTCGGGCATTACTAACCTCTAGAAAGCATGTACGGGATGGCAATCTAGGCATTGTCTGCATGTTTGTGGTTTTTAGTATGTAGACCACCAATTCAAGTCTATGCGAAGTTTAGACTGGATTCTTCGATCCTAAAATATCATTATTATTCAGACTCACAGTAACCATGAAGTCATTTAGACATGTTGTAATCTTGCTTTTAAACCAATTATGCTTTCTTGGTTAGCTTTCATTTCTCTCTCTGTATTATTTCCCAATCATTTATCTAGAGGCTACTTAGTTATTTTGAGGGCTTATACTGTGTTTGATTGATTGGCAGCGATTGTCTTTGTTAGAAGAAGCTCTATACAAAGTTGACTCAAGTGATTTTGCCATTATTCAAGCAATTATAGATAAATACTCGCAGAATCCAACTCTGAAAGAGAAAAGTGCTTACTATAAGTTAGTATTTCTATTTTTAACCCGTTATTCTAGAATTTGTTTCTGATTTGTTTTTATGGAATGCAATTGTCATGCACCAGATGCTCTGAATTTTCACTTTATGGAATTTACTGTTCTGCATGGTCTTATTTTTCTTCCAGTAGAATTGCCAGTGGAACACAAGATTTTATACACCATTTCTGGAGAGCCCCAGCGCAGTTCACAAAATTGTATTAACACCATGAAACCTTGGCCATTGCGTATATTCCTCATTCCACCACAATATTCTTTGTATCATTGTAGAAAGCACATTCTCACGTTTGAATTGTCCAAATTGCTGCACATGTAGAAGTTCTAGAGGTGAAATTGCTGGTTTGTCATAGGTATTAAGGAGAGTAACTACATTCTTAAAAAATCCTTTGGATACTCAAGAATAGTGTGTCTAGACTTATTATTTGTTGATAAACTAATTATATATTCTTGAAATGCAAAGTTGGGAATATGTTTTTGTAAATTTTTCAGCTGTTTTGGGTACAGGATGGATGTTATAGACAAGTGCTTTTCTAGAAGAACAGTAGAGGAAATTTTATCTGCCCTTGTAAGTTTATTCGAATTTCAAATATTAGAAGAGTTGGTTTATTATTCTCTCTGTGCCCTGTATCTTTGGGAAGTGTATTACTCCTGTGGCTCGATACTTGAATAGTTTTCTTTTAGGATTCTGGTTGTAGATAAAACGTTTACATTTTACTTGACCATACCTTATGCATGCCATTGAAGGAGAAGGAGGCTACAAACAGTGCGGATGCTTGGCTAACTTCAACAATTCAAGCACTGAAGAAGGCATCGCCAATGAGTTTGAAGATTTCCTTGAAATCAGTAAGTCTCCTGCAGGCCTTGTAATTGCAGTTAGTTAATTCTCACATATCAAAATGATATGATTAGTTTGTGTTTGAAGCATGGTATGACATATGACCCCCAGAAGAAGGGGGGTTTTTTTTTTTTTTTCTCTTTATATGGGGCAAGATATAGATTGCTTGTTATGCCCAGGATATGGTATAGGGTTCCTTAAGTTCATTCTAAAAATATGAAGTCATGCTTTGAAAATTTGTAATTGTATAACAAAGCTTGATGCTAATCATGATTATCATCTTCTTATTGTTGAATAGAAGCTAGATTGGACAAATTCTTGTAGTAAAGTGAAATTTGACTAATAGTTCAAACTAGAAAGGAAACTAATGGTTCGACCCTACTTATATGTAGGGGTGATCTAAGGTCTTGAAGGCCCGCATTAACATGTAATATGCACTATTGTGAAGGGCAAATAGTATATAATTGAAAAATTAGGTACTTCTTTTTATTTTTCCTCAGTAGAAAAGGAGGTCTTTATTGGCACAAAAATGTCACCTAAAGCTAGGAATTTAAGTTTCATAATATGTTGAGGATGTTGTAAGAGCGTGACTTGCACAATTGCTAGGCCTGGTATTAATTTTTATATTGCAATTTTAGATTAGAGAAGGAAGGCTTCAGGGAGTTGGTCAATGCCTTGTTCGTGAATATAGAATGGTTTGCCATGTTCTGAAAGGAGAAGTCAGCAAGGATTTCAGAGAGGTTCAGCTTACTCACATATTTTCTTATCCACGTTCATTATTTTTTCTTCTGGGTGACTTAAGCCTTGCTTCTAATTTCAGGGCTGCAGAGCTATACTGTTAGACAAGGATAAGAACCCAAAGGTAAATGAAATGGGCATTTTCTTACGTTTCTCATAATTGTGACACACACACACAAATGCGCCTGCACACATGCAAGACTCATGCACAGAGTCTTTTCCTATTAAGGATATCCTCATTTGGAGAAATGTAAGAACCATATCGTGGGACCACCTGCAATGTGGTTGACAGTCTATAATGTATGTTTTAGGTTCCCCTTCAAGGATCATCCATGTAAGTAATCACCGTTATATATTTTTCTCCGCTGCCGTCAGGGCAAATAATTTAGGGTATAAAACCTTTGTACTCTCACACACACACACACCCATATATTTATCTGCGTTTGCACATGTTTGAATCATACAAATACGAGCGTTGTGCATTTCTACAACTTGGACTTTAATTTTTTTGGTTTCCTTCTTTTGGTCTGTCATTCAGTGGGAGCCTTCTAAATTGGAGCTCGTTACTAACCATATGGTTGAGCAGTATTTCTCGAAGTTGGATGATGAAGGATGGGAAGAATTAGAACTTCCTGCAAGATCAAACTTGCCTGTAACTGCCATTGCAAAGCTTTGAGTATTATGGTGTTTCAACCTGCACAAACTTTGTAACTTGTGCAGACTATTTAGTTAAGTTATTGCTTCAGCAGGTACATAAGAGAACACCACTCTAATTCATGTTAATAAAAAAACGAAAGGCCTGTTATTCGTCCATCTAATACGTATTTCTAGGTGAAAATAAATCAGTATATGCATTGTTAAAGCATATAAATGCAAATCTGCACAATCTATAAAAAGAGGAATTCATTTGATGATATTAATGTTCTTTCATCATCTTTTTCCTTCTGTGAATCCTTGTTCAACTTTTTTGTTCCTTTTTTGGGTTTCAATAAAACCTTCACATTCTGCAAAACCCATATGCAAGAGTGAAACCCAACAAACCAGGCTGAAAAGAAGTGGAGCAGCAACAAAGAGCACAAAAGCATGAAAAACAACAACAAAAAGACCAAACGACAACAAACCCTTTGGATGTAGGAGTAAATGCTCTTAACTACTTGAGGTACAAGCCTCATGTGTCACACTATTTTCTTCCCATTTTATTGTTCTTTTTATTCATGAAGTGTGGGGTCAGTTTCAGATTTTTGGATCAGAAAAGGAAACACAAATTGCTTCGATTATGTGTTATTTGTAAAAACTTATTTTATTTTATACACATCCTGTTCAATACAATTTCAATACGAACATATTTGAAAATTTGCCTGCATTTATTAATGTAGATGTGCATCTTCTTCTGCATACCGACTATCAACCTCTTCAACAGCATGTGTATGTCGAAAGGTCATGGTTACTTTAATATGAAAGCAGCTGCTCCGTGACTTGGATGACCAGTTCAAATAGAAACTTCTACTATATTGACTGGTTTACCTGTTTTCTTATTTATGTATTTATGCTTAATATTAGGGAAAATTCCCTACTTACAGTTTTAAATATAAATGCAAATGATTCAATAGCGTAGTGGTTTGGAGCAATTGCTCCCCCAAGAAAGGTCATGGGTTCGAGTCATAGCATTCGTACAGTATATATGGGTTTAATATGTTATCACATCCCTCTCAATAGGAAAGGTCATTGAAAAAAAATAATATCATCCATAGGAGTAAATTTTCTTAAAATCATCCATGCATTCCATGTCTCATCTCCACATTTCTAGAGTTTTGTGGGAAATGCCAAAGGCCTTTTAGAAAAAGAAAAAAAAAATTAGACGAAAAATCTTTTAGGTAAACAAATAATTAGTCAATTAATTTGATGTTGGGTTGGTTCACCTATGCTTATTTAACTTATGTCCTTGTAGCGTTCCATGCGGTCTGCGTTGAGTGAGTACATAATTAGCAATGGTTGAGAAGAAAAGGAACACTACAGTTTGAACCAACTATTACAAGTTTCCTGACTGAGAGAGGTGTTTAAAGTTGGACTAGGTGAAGGTCTTTAGCTTCATGTCTTCTTCAATAGTGGAAAATATTTAATCATCTGTTTGAGCTACACCACAATTCTGCATGTTATCCACATATGTGCTTTCACGCCCATTCGATATGCGTTGTTTACATGTTAGACTTAAAAGATGCCACCCGAGAAGGAACGTGTTGAGAAAATCCCACACTTGATAATGAAGTCTTTACATTACTGTCTGAAAAATCTTGGTCATCTTCTCCAAATGGCAACTAATTTAGGGTTGGGTGCTTATATTGTAAGAACTCCTAATCAAACTGGTGGGGTCTTGGTCACTGGTCAGACCTGCAATGCAGGACTCAGCGTAATTATAGCATTCACACAGACTTATTAGGTACCATAATTTTCTGACTTCTTTCTTTAGTAATGAAGACTGGTGGACCATTTTTTTAAATTACCCTCAATTTTCTGTCTTTCTTCTTCTTCTTTTACCACATAAATTTGACATTGAATATTATTCATCTTTTCAATTTGTATTTGTTTTTCCATCAATAAAATATGGTTGTCACTTGGCCAGCATATAAGCCAAAATCTGTGTCATATTATTTGCTACATGGAACAGTAACTTTTTTAAATTTATTTTTAGAATAAGCGATAGTTTTTCATTGAAAACCAAATAAAAGTACAAAGCAACGATGTGCCGAATATGAGTAAATATTCTCCAATCACTCAAACACAACAACATGTAGAATTGATGAGAGAATCACACATAACCCAAAGAAGACTAAAATCTCTTATTCAACAATTAAAATCACATGTACTCTAACTTGCAATACAGATTCACCGCGCAACGGCATAAATAGCAAATCCGTATTGAAAGCCAAAGCTAAATAGAATTTAAACAATCTAGAGAGACAAACTACATCAATCTCCTAAAGAGTTCATGATAATTATTAGACTTAATTAAACAAACTAAAAAGCAGGATCACTGCTCCACATCCTCCCGAGCAACTTGAAGAGAGCCATAGCGCCGTACCGACTAAACCCATAGTGCCACACCGTCTAAACCCAAACCCAACGCAACCCGACATCTTCCTTGTATGCGTGGGCCAAAGACGACGACTATTTCATGGCGACTACTTCCACATCACAAAACAAAATAACAAAGAAGGATCATGAGGGAAAAAAAGAGGGGGTGGTGGGTGGGGTTGTGGGGTGTGGGAAGGAGATGAGAGGGGATGAGAAGAAGAGAGGGGAGGTGGGTAGGGAAGGAGGCCACCAGGTGGTTGAGATTTTTCCTTACCATCCATTTGGATGAGGAAAAATAACTCGGAATTTAAGAGGAGAAATTGACAATACTCTTTTGTGGCAACTTAAGCGCGAAATTTATTAAATGACGGACGAAAAAAATTGTGGAAATTGAGACATCAAATTTTCAAGTTTAATTTCCACCAAAATAGTAGTGATTTCACAATTTCCATAGTGCCATTTACAAAATTCTACAAAATTCGACATACATAAATTTAAACACTGAAATTTTAAATTGCTAGAAATTAAAATGATGGAACTCCAATCGATGGGATATTTAGAAAGCTATGATTATTTATGGGATGACTCATGGATTTATTAAGGCATAACTTATCCACAACAAAATCAAGAGATCTGTTTCGAATTACACAACAAATAGACATAGAATTTCGCATCTATGTGAGTTGAATATATTCTAGGTATATGGTGTGCCCATCCCGATAATGGGAAAAGAAAAAGGAAATAAGTTTAGAAAGCATATCTAGAAGATGCACATGCAGTTCTATCCGATGAACAAAAAATAAAATAGCAGTGTTACCACCGATGAACCAATATCCAAATCATATAAAATTCTAAATTATTAATTTAGAATCTCCCAATACTAAATATCAATTCAAATTTTCTTGAGAAAACTGTATCCTGCTGTGTGTTTGTAATTTAATACAAAAAAAGAAAAAAAAGAAAAAGAAAAAAACTCTATTAGCTAGAATGATTCACAAATCCCAAATATTCCTTCAAATCATAAGGGAAACATGGGTACCGTTTCCATGAATTGCCATGCATCTTGAAGATCTTCACCACCTTATCTTTAGTAGAAGATCTGCCATCCATGTGCAACAATGCCAGAAGCTTCTTCACTGATCCATACATCAACATTTCCTCCAGTACCCTCTCAGTTGGATAAAAATTACAGACCAGCCATATGATCTTCACCCCAATCTTGGTGGCAGCATTGGAAACATGCAGCATTTTTTGGGTAATGGCAACAATGCCCATGCCATGGTCCACCAAGGCCTGCCTTCCCTCAGCACACTCACATAGTAATTTTATCAAATGCAACATTTTTTCACATTTGGATCTGTTGGAGTCTTGCAGCAACTCTATGAGGACACAAACTGCACCTGCTTCAATTGCCCTCAACCTGTTTTTCTTCGATGCTCTTAATATTTCAATCAAGACTTCCAAGGCACATGAACTTGCTTTGCTACATATTTCATCTGAAACAAGCTCCAACAAGGATTTGAAGAAATCTATACCTTGATCTTGTACTATAAAGCTCCAATCATATTCGGTTTTCGCCATCTTTCGAAATATGGTAATGGTATGTAGCCGTGCCTCAGCGCTTCCCCGCTGAAGCATGATTGCCATTGATCTGGTTGATTCTTGTTTCGATAACAACTCAAATGTCTTCCCTTCTTCCGATATAGGAAGTTGGTGAAGAACACAAAGAGCCTCCTCACAAGCCCTAAACGTCACGAAATCCGAGCTATCCATGATAGTTTGATCAAGGATTTGGACAAGAACTTCGACTCCATTAGATTGAATAAAATCATCTTTCATCTCATCATCTATCTCGATGATGGATCGGAGTTTCTTTATCGAATTTACCTTGAATGGGGACGACACGATTGTGCTGAGAAGTGCTTGTATTTCATCATGTTTAGCGGAAGGACATGGTTGAGATTGAGATGAAGATGGTGATGAGCAAGAAGATTTCGAATCCTCATTACTTTGCCATGAAACGATGAGCCTCTTGAGGGTGTGATTCGGGATGATACCGAAATTCTCAATGCTTTGCATTGTAGCTGGGCATGTTTTCTTCTTGTAGGTGAAGAACCACTTCTCTATGTTCTTACGTTCGTATGTGACCCCGGTGGAGATGGTGACTGGGTCTTTCATAAGCTCCATGGAAATAGGACATCTAAAATGGCATGGAAGAAAATCCATGGCCGGATCTGCGCAGGTGTTTCTCTCTACCTCAAAATCCACTGCACAAAAACTGCAAAATGAAAGGGAGAGTTTGGGATATGAAATTAACATCCAAGTTTTGCACACATATAAAGTAAGAGGGAGGAAGGGTGTGAAATCCAAAAAAGGAAAAAATATTCAAAGTCAATATACGGATATGCATTTGGTAGCTAGCTGTATCATTAAATCTACAAGTAAGCACAGGAAAGTTTCTTTGTTTTGATTTTATTTATCTTTTATTATTAAAGTCTAATTAGCCTCTTTGCTACCAAAAGTCTACCATAGTTCTGGTATATTCCCATCCTGACCCAATTTTTTTCTTTTTTACATTCTTATCCAAAAGTCTAATGATTATAT